AGGGTATGTGAGAAGACAATACAAGACGTGGTCGAACGTTTCTGGGACATCATAGAGGATATTAACATAAACAATGTGCTGGGTTTCCTCCGGGACAACATCGTGGGAGTGGTCGTACTCGTCACTGCCTTCATATGGATACCTGCCAGTTGTGTTGTAAGTAGCTATTTGTTTTTCAATATCTTGTGGGACAGATCGGCTCCAGAGATGCCTAACGTTAAAAGAATACTGGAGCTCTATATGAAAGCGGGCATATGTAGACACCAGTGTGCTTAGTGCGAGAACAGCGCCCCTAGTGGCAAACGTAGGCAAACGTTCCAACAATACAAATTTGAGTTAACGTTTACTCTATCGAGAACGTTAAAAAAATTGCACTAAGCACACAGACGTGGTGATTTTACGCATGGGTTGGTTCTCTCATCCCGCTAATTCCTACCGCCGAGCAGTAATGCGTTCCAGACCAGTATTGTAATTAATAAAAGCAACGACTTTAGTAATGGAATGCGTTGTGGAATAAAAAGCTTATTTTTAATTTAGAACTATATTTGCAACTAAACTATTTCTAATTTAGATTAGCTATGTTGATCGTCGGCGTCAGCGGCAGCATCAGAAGTATTTGGAGTGGGAGAGGCAACATGATCTGATCCATCCGTCGTCACCGAGAAAAGTTATACACACACGGTAGGCTGAATTGTATTTTCTATAATATTACAAATGAACCCACATGCACCAAAGCCAAAACTGCAATAAACCAATATTAAAATACTTAATGTTTCAAGATAAGTCGATAATTCCCTTACTAAATAATAAAATTTACCTAATTTACATAAGAGTAAAAATATACGACAGGAAATTTTAGGTAATTTAATCGAAATTTCAAAAGCGCATTTTTTTAAGGATTTAAAAAAGTGCTGTTTCATAAAATCAAAGTTAATCTAAAAATATGTAACTGATGCTATTTATACATATAAATATAACTTAGATGTTATATCGCCACATTTTACTATTTTTAGCTAATCTTTTTTACTTTGCTTACAGATTACCGAAACAGAAACCTCCGGGAATTAAATCTGCCATACAAGGCAGCAGTCAACTGTAGTACGTTAGTAGTTAATTATTAAGGTGTATTTTTTTTTTTTTTTTATTGCTTAGATGGATGGACGAGCTCACAGCCCACCTGATGTTAAGTGGTTACTGGAGCCCATAGACATCTACAACGTAAATGCGCCACCCACCTCGAGATATAAGTTCTAAGGTCTCATTATAGTTACAACGGCTACCCCACTCTTCGAACCGAAACGCATTACTGCTTCACGGCGGAAATAGGCGGGGTGGTGGTACCTACCCGTGCGGACTCCCAAGAGGTCCTACCACCAGTGATTACGCAAATTATAATTTTGCGGGTTTGGTTTTTATTACACGATGTTATTCCTTCACCGTGGAAGTCAATCGTGAACATTTGCTAAGTACATATTTCATTAGAAAAATTGGTACCCGCCTGCCGGATTCGAACACCGGTGCATCGCGTCATACGAATGCACCGACGTCTTATCCTTTAGGCCACGACGACTTCATTTATATGTATTTAAGGTCTATTTAATAAAACAAGTTCAATATTTTTTATTGTGTTTTATTAGTATTTTATTTTTAGTTACGTTATGTGATCGATAAGTGATTTTATATATAGAGACATAAATGTGTTGCGACTTTATAAATAACAATGGGTATATATTTTTGGACACTGGTTCCATTTCACTAACACGGTATTCTTATTATAAGCATTTTATTCGATTCATGTTTCTAATAAATAAGCTTTGTTTGAGGAACAGTTATTGATTAATATAAACTTCGCCGTGAAATAAGCGAATAAATGTGACGAATTATTTTGCGTTCTAAATCACTACATAGTATAAAACAAAGTCGGTTTCTCTGTCCCTATATCCCTATGTATGCTTAAATCTTTAAAACTACGCAACGGATTTTGATGCGGTTTTTTTTAATAGACACAGTGATTGAAGAGGAAGCTTTATATGTATAATAACATCCATTAAATAGTGGAGAAATTAATTATAAATTACAGTTTCGGAAGCGAAGCGTGGGCGGGTCGCTAGTAATGTATAATTTAGTTGAGAGCAGTAGAAGTGAGCAGGGCGACTCCTCGCTCGTAGAACGCGTGCGGCTCCTGTCCGGGCGCGACGGGCAGCCGCACCGTGAACAGCAGCTCCGTGCGGGCACTGTTCAGGTACACGGGGAGAGTCAGCGTGTGCGAATTGGACGCGGGCTCCGGACCGCTGTAGACAAATAAAAAAACCAATGTTATGCTTCGATCGAAATAAAACACACTTAATATATCTAGTTACGAAATATTTCTATGCAACTATAAATGCATTATGAGCTTGCGTCTTCCATGACCGTGTAGTTCAGGGGTTCTCAAACTTATTTTTTCTACTGCCCACCTTGAGAATAAATTATTTTTGTGCGCCCCCGTTTTTTCACACACTTAAAAACCACTATAGCGAGAGAGTCCTCCTAGATGAAGTTACAAATCGCCTCCCAAGCTTCTTCACAACGCTCCCATATTTTTTCTGGGCCTGTTACTGCCCCTGCCTGCTGCACCCACAAGGGGGCGTTATCGCCCACTTTGGAAAAGGCCGGTTTAGTTAAATGACGGCGATCACTGAGCGTACTATTATACTATTAATGGTACATACATAAATTATTAATGAAAAATTTGTGAACACTATAAAATACTGACGTAGGTGAGTCGTTCGCAGTGTTAAGGAGTTGCCAGAGGACATACTGAATAACCGTGTACGTATGATGTTTCAATTCTATTGAATTAACAGCTACAGGATAGCTCTCAAACCGGAATTAGGTCAATTGGGATGACATGTACCATACCAAAGACGATTTTTTTTCTGGTTTGGTTTTGTTTAAAAAAAACGTTTAATAAAGTATCAAGACTGTCTGACTTAACTTGATCTCAATAATAAGATGAAAATACTTACCGAACCCAAGTGAGCACAGTAAGAGGCAGGTCTACCATGATAGTGTTTGTCAGTAATAACCGATTTCCTTTGACAGTGGCTCCCTGCAGTTTTAAACCAGTTACAGAGAACGACCATTCAGTTTGAGCATTCTCAGTTGGTGTTCCGGGGTCGGGTATTGTCACCTGTTCGTAAAAATATCTTATTTAGCACCTAATAAATTAAAAACACAATTATCAACATATGGCAACATTTTATTCTTACAATGTGAGGTAAAACTATTATGAGTGAATAGAACAAAAATCATTGAATCTTTTATCGACTAAGATAATATAATATTATTTACCTGCAAATGTAATTCTTCTAAAGACCAGGAGTTAGCTTGAGCAACGCATTGGCGGGTAGCTGTGATATAAGCTTCAGGGTTTAGCAGTCCACCGAGCCAGACTGGGACATTCTGTAAAATAATTCCAAAAGTTATTTTACATATTGTTGAGATCTGACTTCTTGACTTTTTTAAACTTCAGTTCTATTATGTAAAGGTGAGGTATAAGGTATATGGCACCTATAACCACAGGGGTTCGTTTATTACAAAAAAAATGCACCCATTTATTTGTTTCATTTTTTTTTCCTATTTCATTTGATGGTCTTGAGACCATTTTAGCGTAAACTTAACTGGTGAGCTCACATGGCTCAAACCTGACGACGTTGCTAACACTGGCCTTAGCAAGAGCAGTGCTTCGCAGAATCTACCACCGCATCGGAAACGCAACCCACAGAGAAGATTCGGCCAGAAACTCAGTGGGCTGTGTCTATGGGTTAAATTACTCGCCGAGCCCTTCGTCGCAAGAGACTAGTTCGACGAGAACGATGACTCTGTTTCATACTGTATGTATAATAAGTGTAACATTTGCATACCTGCAACCTCTTAGCAGCGACGGCATCTGCCACCTCTGCTAGCTGTGTGACCCTCTGTGCAAAGTCTCCGATCCACTGCTGCACCGTGCAGCCGCGGGCCACGGCGTAGCGGCGCCACGAGGCGGGCAGCATGCCGCGCACCAGGGACCCCACCATCGCGCGAGTCTCGTTTGTTTGTTTCATTTCGCTCTATACATCGAAAAATCTTGATAAATGTTCCAGATATGATACGGCAATACTTATAATTGATACTAATGGAGCAATGAACGCTTTTATAAAATTAAAAAACCAAAATTTGAAATGTAACGAAAGTAAGAATATCTAATACAGCGGTCGGGGAACCGGGGTAAATTACCCCAAATGGGGTAAAATGAAATTTTGGGGGGTAAAAATGAAACTTTTGTGAGTAAAGAGTATTTAAATATTGAAGTGAAACTTCTTTAGGATCGGTGTGATTTCAAACTCGATGAAACGAAATGAAACGAAACGAAAAAAATAGTTTTTTTCGTTTTTTTTTGTTTTTCGCTATGGGGTAACACAAAAATATTTTGGAGTAATAATTAAAAAAATTCCCCGACCACTGATTTAATACAAATAGCTCTTTACATTTTTATAAACTAAATAATTATTACCTAGTTTTTAAAGTTTTTTTAGCTTAACAATTTCGTATGATAATGATCAGTTACAAAATACTACTTTAAGAAGGAACTAATGAAAACTTTATAAAATACCTGACAAATTAACATAACGTTGCGCAGATCGTGCAGTACTTGCTGCAACAGAGACGCTCCGGCAGCTACCTCACGTTCGAAGAACCGGTACAAAGGATCTTTGATATTCTCCACTGTACGCCGAAGAGTCTACGAAAAAAACACATAAGTTTAGTTTATCACTATCACTACATAGTATAAAACAAAGTCGCTTTCTCTGTCCCTATATCCCTATGTATGCTTAAATCTTTAAAACTACGCAACGGATTTTGATTGTTTTCTTTTAATAGATAGAGTGATTGAAGAGGAAGGTTTATATGTATAATAACCTCCATTAAATAGTGGAGAAATCAATAATAAATTACAGTTTCGGAAGCGAAGCGAGGGCGGGTCGCTAGTAACAAACCTTAGTCAAAGTTATTTAACGTTACTACCAAATTATAAAACCAATATTACCGGAAGTTCTTTAGGCAGTAGTTGCAGCCAGTTCGCTGCTGTTTGATGTAAAATTTTCATCCACGCAGGTCTTCCATCACCAAGTACAACCGAACCTATCAAAATAAAATTTCATTAACTATATGTCCAAACTCAGTAAGATTGCATTTTAACTGTATATTTAACTATTTAAATTTTGTTTATTTTTTTAATTTCAACTAGCTGAACCGGCAAACTTCATAGTGCCTCAATCGATAAATAAAATACTTAAATTTTTGTATAAAATAAAGTTAAAACAAACAAAAGGAATCCGTCCGACGGGGGACACATCAAAGGAAAAACAAAATTGTTATTTTTATTTAATTCGAGCATTTTCATATTTATCTACCTTTCAAACCTTCTCTGGACTTCGAAAAATAATTCAAGACCAAAATTAGCGAAATCGGTCCAGCCGTTCTCGAGTTTTAGCGAGACTAACGAACAGCAATTTATTTTTATATATATAGATTACGTTTATTTAATTGTTAATTCAAAATAATTTTAGTAATGACAAAATACGTACTGGCGTCGTTGTCCTGAGTGGCAGCACTATAGGCCAGCTCTTCTTCATCTTCAAGTTGTTGCATTTTCAATAATTTCGATACAAGGTCGCTGCCTTGTGTAGTCAGCAGCACCTGAACCAATAATATAGGTCAGTAATTGTAGAAGCGTGCATGTTCCAACAGGTAAGACGTCCAGTGCTGATTGCACGAGCAAGACGCGGTTCGATACTTAAGGCTTTCATGAGCGACTTCCATAAAGTAATAACGTTTTGTCAAATGAAATCGAATGCATAAAATTATGAGTAAAGATTAGTTGCAGTCTGGTTTTGAAGGTCTTGAAATCCATTTACAATGAAAAAGCGCAAATAATATTAAATACTAACTCTGACTATATTTTGAAATTAAGATCATACCTTCTCAGCGTTGTTGGGTAGTCCGAGCCAGGATGGTGTTTGTCGATCCGATAGTTCTTCGATCCATTTCAGGAAGTTGTCACGACGGTTACCGTCGGGCATCGTGATGTGACGCTGATTGCCAGTAGCCTGTAATATTAAAAGAGACTTTCTCAAGAAATTGATTTATTCAATGTAATTATTGTCGACAACATTATTATACTTCTTATGTTTGGACTGTACTTAACTTAATATTGTTGGTGGTTTAATATTATTAATGTTGGAAGGACCTCTTGTGAGTCCGCACGGGTAGGTACCCTGCCCATTTTTGCCGCGAAGCAAAGATGCGTTTCGGTTTGAAGGGTGGGACAGCCGTTGTAACTATTCGAAGACCTTATAACTCATCTCATGGTGGGTGGCGGCATTTACATAGTAGATGTCAATGGGCTCCAGTAACTACTTAACATCAGGTGGGCTGTGAGCTCGTCCATCCAAGCCATAAAAAAAATTAATAATAGAGTATTCATTACAAATATAGCATCAATTTTTAATTTTTAATAATTTGATGTTTAAATATAAGTTCTAGATAATACATACCCCATCAACATTAGCTACAAGGGCGAAATCGGCTTCAAACGATTTAGGCGTGAACAGTTTGGACAGGAACGACTGCAGCAGACGTTGGTCGAACAAGTTGTCAATTTTCCCTCCGTATATACATTGTGACAGAAGCGTAACTAAAGCTTCCCACGGCACTTTCTCGGGAGGAAGATTGGTTCGGCCCTGGAAACAAAAAAAACGACTTATTAATTGAATGATATTATGTTTTCCAATACATATCTATTTTATTTACAACAAATTCTTGTACATTTGTGAAAGGTTGAGAAAGTATAATTTTATTTGAAATAAATCATGGAATTCTGATACAATAAAACCCATCGATTACATCAACCGTTTAAATATAGGGTTGACAATTTTAATATCGAAAGACATAATATCCATCAGATTTTTTATTTTAAATAGATTTGATGGGTCCGAGTGCGTGTTTGTTTGTTTAAAATCATAAGGCATGACATTCAGGATAGATTAGAATTGACTTGAAGAACTCAAGTCATCGTGCTTTTAATACGGTAAATGATACAGTCGTTTAAAATAAGTACAAACTTTTCTTCGACAGCTCTGTTATCCAAAATGGAAATACAATTCATGAATAAATTCATAAAAAAGTTTTCAAACATGGTGGCGTCGTAAGGTACAAAATAAAAAGGCGATTTATGAAGTCAGTTCAGCCGTTGTAACCATACTGAGATCTTAGAACTTATATCTCAAGGTGGGTGGCGCATTTACGTTGTAGATGTCTATGGGCTCCAGTAACCACTTAACACTAGGTGGGCTGTGAGGAGTGGGAGAAAGAGAAAGTGCGAAAACGATATTTTTTTTTATAATTGAAGGATCACTGGTGGCTCGTGGGTCTTTCCAGTTTCACCAGGACAGGTGGGCGAGTAAAGGCTCAGCCAGGAGGGGTGGGATTTGCTAACAGCTGCCCTAGCGCCTCCGAAGGAGACCTAACGACTCAAAAGCAGCTGCTTCGCGAATGAATCTACTACCGGATCGCCTTGGCGACCCGCTAAGAAGATCCGGCGAGAAACTCAGCGGGCTGGTGCATAGGGTTAGGTAGCTCTTTGTCGAGTTCGATGAGTACGGTTACCGGGGTCCCTAAGCCTGCTCCTAGTGTTATAGCTGAAGGCGTCTCATCATTCTCCTGTGTCACGTCAAAGATAGCTTTATTGGTATTTGCTGCGTTCGTATCAGAAATGTGTATCATTAATATAGCAAACATCACTGGTGTGTGCTTTTTTTGGAATAATTCTTTCACAGAATTTAGTGTGCATGTTTACCATGGCAGTGGCGTCGATCCACGTGTCGAGAGTGTCGCACGCGACGCGCAGGTCCGACTCGTTGAACTCGTAGTACTTGGCCCAGCCGAGCGGCACGTAGCGCAGACGCTCCTGAACAATACCTGGGTACAGAAACATGTGATTTATGAGAAGTCATTTTTTTTTATTGCTTAGATGGGTGGACGAGCTCACAGCCCACCTGGTGTTAAGTGGTTACTGGAGCCCATAGACATCTACAATGTAAATGCGCCACCCACCTTGAGATATAAGTTCTAAGGTCTCAGTATAGTTACAACGGCTACCCCAACCTTCAAACCGAAACGCATTACTGCTTCACGGCAGAAATAGGCGGGGCGGTGGTACCTACCCGTGCGGACTCACAGGAGGTCCTACCACCAGTGATTAAGCTTATTATCTAAATGCTGTATGTATGATTGAGAAGTATTTTTTATTTGATAAATTTTTATATTTGGTATCGTTACGGAAAAGCTACGAACTACTTTGTTTTCCTACATGGTCCTATAATATATTGGAACTTATTTTAAAAATTATTAATAAATAAATTTGTATTTTACAAAATTAGAATAAGGAACGCTTACAATAAGCGCAGTGAAATAGGGGTAGTGAATTTAAAAATAATGAAAACTGGTAATTATTAACACAATTAGAATTACCGTGGAACCAAGCCAGCAAGAAATAAAGTCTGGCACGTTCTGACGGTGGTTTCATCATACGAGCTGCCGGTACCTGTAATAATAAAATTATAAGTTTGTTAACTTGACAGAATATATTATGATAAATATGTTGGTTATATATAATAATAATTTGTCATCATACTAAATAGTAAACAAATATTATGTATATAGAAAATCGCATGGTATTACACTCGCAAAAGTAGTAGAAGACATGGGCTACTCTCCATACATTGCACGGCCCACTAAACAATGTTCAAGGACAGTAATGAAATTAAGTTTAAATAACAGACTATATATCCCTTTTATTATAAACAAATTAAAATCAATATTGTTCATGTGGATACAGAGAGAGATATTTAAAAAATAAGATAAGATTTTTATTATTATTAAATATAAATATATTTTACCTATGGCAACTCCTTCAATATTATCAATGTAGCTTAGTCATGCTAATTTCTTTTTATTTATGATTTTAATTATCCCACTATTAAAATACCCTTAAATTTTATAATAAGTATGGAAAAATAAAATGTTTTTTTCTATAGGTATTTCATTCGTGTCCTTGAGAGCACTAGTAGCTGGGCCGAAAATGGCCCATGTTCTTTACGTCGTATATTACTTTTAGTGAAGTATCACACGGATCGATAACACTATCATTCCTAATGTTGCGAACTATTTAAATATAGCAATTAATTATGAGGCGGCGTGAATTTTGTCAATGGGCTTTGGTAAGCACATAGCACCCGTAGGGCCGTACAAGTCCATTTACAAATAACATTAGAAGATTTTTTTGAATCTTCAATATTTATATATGTTGATAGATTCTTAACTTAAAAAAAAACAAACTTAGAATTTAAAAGAATTATTAAAAAAATTCTAAACTTGGAATAGAAATTGAATATAAATGATTAATACAAATACAAAAATACTTTATTTTTAAAAGCGAGTCAAAACAATACCATGATTGGAGTCTCCTTTTAAGCGTGCAAGCCTGTATTAGGATTACATAATTGAATTCGGTGTTTAAAAAATTGAATTTCAAGTTTATAAAATTGAATCTGAAGTTAAAAGCCTATAGAATAATGAATATGATAATTATAAAGAAAATAAAATATTATGATAGCAAAATACGTACAGTGACAAAAGTCCTGAGCAGGTTAGCGCGGATGCCGGGCGGCGGTTCGAAGACCAGCACTCGTCCGGCCCGCAGCAGGTTCACGGGCAGCTTCGGGTTGATCTCCGTCGTGAGGAACAGCCGGAAGTTCGGGTGGGGTTGCAGCGAGTGGAGTTTCTTCTCCAGCTGCACCAGCCACACCGGGGCGAGATGCACGTTCTTCAGCATCACCCAGCTGGAATATACAGAGTGATAAATTTATTTATTTACTTCAGGAACCAAATATAACGTATTATTTATGAATAATTTGGTATTAAGCGCAACAATTCTCATTGATTTGATGATTCGCGGGCCACCTCTTTTACATCTATACTAATATTATAAAGAGGAAATATTTTCTTGATCTACTTATGAAATAATTAGACAGTATAAACGCTCTTGAAAAAAAAAGAGGAAATATTTGTTTGTATTGAATAGGCTCCGAAACTACTGAACCGATTTGAAAAATTCTTTCACTGTTTGGAAGCTACACTATTCCCGAGTGACATAGGCACACATCTTTTTTGAAAAAAATTAGGGATCTTTACTAAAACACCAATGATGTAACCCAAGGTGTAAAAAAATATTGGAAATATTCTTTACATCGCGTGCCCTGCGATAACTATTGATGATAGAATAAAATATTGTACTACGACTTTGTGGAACACATTATTATTTACAAAAAGTGTCGCGACAGCATCAAGTTCATCTTCAGAGAAACGTTGCTTTTATAGATTTTAAGAACAAAATAAATAAAAAGTCATACCGTCCGGTTTTGCAAGCAGTGTTAATCGCTCGCTCAGCTTGATTGAATCCTTCAGCAGATCCGATGGCGATACTCGATAAAGGCTTGTTCAATTCAGTCGCCATATCATCCACGCGACCTGTGACATTCAATTGTTAACAACATATTTAGAACTATTGAAATTTTGCTTTGCATTCTTAACCCTTTGGCTGCCACGGAGGTCACCAGTGTCCTACGTGACGCGCTAAAGTAATTATGTCGATTTCTGTCTTCGATCTTCTTACTAAGGCACGGGAATATCTAGTAGACTCTGGGAAAGACGAAGATACTGAGAATGTATCATTTCTAAGAGACCTAAAAACTAAAACATACATTAACAAACAAAATAAGGAAACGTTAGGTAATCTAAGCAGTTAGTAACAGAAATACACATAATTACTTGAGTGCGCCGCGTAGAGCATCGGTGACCTACATGGCAGGCAAAGGATTAATACGTTTTCAAGCCTTAATGATAGGTTTCTAAATTATAAGGCTGTAGAAAGAAAATTTTACCACTAGCGTCATATCCGGGCACAGAGCACAGTATGGCCGGCGTGGTCGCGTTCAGTTGAGTTTCGGTAATGGAGGCGAGATCCAACTCGGTCTCTGCTTTAGCCATGAATCCGGTGCCGAGGACCGCCGCCGCTAGTTGTGTGGCGGCAGCGATCACGCGGTCGGGTCGGAACGCCTGTCGAATCAATTGTTTAAATTTAAAAAGGCTCGTAATATTAATAAAATCTTTTTTTTTTAAATCGATTTTAATAAAATCTGTGAATGTCTATGTCCATCAACTGACTGATGATTCCGCACGCACGTATGTTAAGTGCTTGTATTAAACACTGTAATCTACCACTAGGTGCATTAGGAACATGCCAAATGCTGAATTGTAATTTATAGTATATCATGTTTTTAACCATTTTAGATTTTGATGGTATTCGGTTCTATAATTCAGTATAATGTTTTTTTTATTGCTTAGATGAGCTCACAGCTGACTTGGTGTTAAGTGGTTACTGGAACCCATAGACATTTACAATGTAAATGGGCCACACACCTTGAGATATGAGTTCTAAAGGATAAGACGTCCGGTGCATTCGTATCGAGCGATGCACCGGTGTTCGAGTCCCGCTGGCGGGTACCAATTTTTCTAATGAAATACGTATTTAACAAATGTTCACGATTGAGTTCCACGGTGAAGGAATAGCATCGTGTACTAAAAATCAAACCCGCAAAATTATAATTTGCGTAATTACTGGTGGTAGGACCTCTTGTGCGTTTCGGTATGAAAGGTGGGGCAGCCGTGGTAACACTACACTGAGACCTTAGAACTAATATCTCAAGGTGGGTGGCGGCATTTACATTGTAGATGTCTATGGGCTTCAGTAACCACTTAACACCAGGTAGGCTGGTGAGCTCGTCTACCCATCCAAGCGATAAAAAAAAGAGGTAATACCACGAGTAAAAAATATACTATTGTAATAGAAAACACAAGAGCAAGCAGCGTATGCTAGTGTCGCGACCTGTATGAGCAGCAGGCGGTACATGGCGAGCGAGTGCGGCGCGGGCGGCGCGGCGGGCTCCGAGTCCCACAGCGTGGGCACGCACTGCTCGGGCGCCGCCTGCGACAGCCACGCCGACAGCTCCGGCAGCTCGCCAGCCTTCTCCAGCAGACGACGGAACACTCCCAACCTGGAATATTTTGTATCACGTTACTAGCTGACCCGGCAGACTTCGTAGTGCCTCAATCGATAAATAAAATACCTAAATTTATGTATAAAATAAACTTAAAACATACAAAAGGAATCCGTCCGACGGGGGACACATCAAAGGGAAAACAAAATTATTATTTTTATTTAATTCCGAGCATTTTCATATTTATCTACCTTATAAACCTTCTCCGGACTTCCACAAATAATTCAAGACCAAAATTAACTAAATCGGTCCAGCCGTTCTCGAGTTTTAGCGAGACTAACGAACAACAATTCATTTTTATATTTATAGATTGTAATACTTAGTCATATTTCATTATTTATATTATTTTCGCCATTGAAGTGCAATATATTATTAGGGAACGTACCCATACTACGTGACCTATTTTTTTAGTTTTTTCGACCTCTCCCTCCCCGCGGTGATCACTCGTAGTATATGCCAAGACCCCCCTCTCCCCCTTTAGTTTTCACGTAGTAACTCATAATTATGATTTGTAATCATTTCACAGGCAAAAATTGAAAAAAAAAAGTTTGGTTCATACTCGTCTTTATTTCATAAGACTGCATGCACACTTAAATTATTGGTGAATTATGTAGTGTGAGTTTACAAAGCGCTAAACAGTGCGCGCTATATTCGAATATAGGGCGAAAAAATACGAGATTTCTCTCCCTAAAATCGACTAAAACCTGAGCCACCCCCCCGCTCCTGTGACTGACCGTAGTATTTTAAAGACTCCGCTCCCCCCCCCTAAATGAGGCACGTAGTATGGATTCGTTCCCTTATGCCTATCTCATCTCGAATGGTCACTGAATACACTATATTTTACTATAGATAAATACTAAGATCCGCATGGTATAGTATTGTTTTAAGATATATATTATTATTATATATAAGAACATTGCAACGATTACTTACAAAACAGTAAAATGAAGTTATTTATTATGAAAAACATAACAGCAATGTAATTTATTTATTCACACATACAGGGTGTGGCATAAATCCTATCTCATATATATATAGAAATTGTGACTTGTGTGATTAAGAAAATTAAAAGTAATAGCTAATTTCACAAGTATCGGTTCCTTGTCTGTATAATTTTAATGACCTTTAGAAATTACCATATCTATTTTGATTGACAAATATCAAACCTGGAACTGAGTCTGGCGGCGGCGTCGTGCTGCTGATGCGTGAGCGGTTCCGAAGGCGCAGTCTGAGAGACGAACCCTTCCTTGCCTCGCAAGAACACCGGGAACGACTGCTCTAGGGTATCCTCGGCTCCCGTGCCCTTCAGATGTATGCGGCAAAGCAGCAGCGCGAAAGTGAGTCTGTCCGTGTGCAACATACCACGGGCTACACGCTCATAGACCACCTGTAACATAAGGTTTGCTAGGTTCATTTCTATACCATTGTTTTGTAATAGATAAAAATATACTATCATGGTAAAATGTTAGTGGTGGTAGGACCTCTTGTGAGTCCGCACGGGTAGGTACCCCGCCTATTTCTGTCGTGAAGCAGTAACGTCTTTCGGTTTGAAGGATGGGGTAGCCGTTGTAACTATACTGAGACCTTAGAACTTATAACTCTAGGTAGGTGGCGGCATTTACGTTGTAGATATCTATTGGCTCCAGTAACCATTTAACTAATTTGACATTGAAAAATTGCATTTTAATTTTGAAGCACTAATTTGTGGCATAACAATTTAGGTCAGCAGATCTGAAATAATCCCGTTACTGCCTAGCAGTTACAGCAGATAGAACACTTTAACAAGATAAAAAAAAGTTTTTTTATTGCCATTGTAGGCAGACGAGCATTCGGCCCACCTGATGGTAAGTGGTCACCGTCGCTCATGGACGTCAGCAATGCCGGGGGCTGAGCCAAGCCGCTGCCTACCTATCGTTGAATTATAAAAATATTCAGTTATGGCACCAGTATATTTTAACCGTTTATATTTAAACCGAATGCCTCTTGATAATTGAATTAAAAATATTATTCAGTTCATAATAGCACAAAACATACAGCGAACAGTTCTTCGGTAATGATTTTAAGCCTCGCCGTGTAGTCTGTAACGCCGTTCAGCAAGGGACATATCAGCACGGAGCTGAATATGTCCAGGAACATCTTCAACGAGTATTGATACAAGAAGTGGATCTGGTTGAGGGAATCCATTGTGAAGTAGATGCTGCTGCAGGCCTGTATTAAAACAAAGTTTTTATTAAAGAAACATGTCGCATACAAATCTGTTTAGGCTAATTAGAATTATAGAATAAACATATATTATGAACAGGTGAAAACGCTCGAAATCTAAAAACTGTACTTACTTGTGATAACGGTAAGTACTGCTGACTCACAGTCTCTATCTCAGCAATTACTTTATCAGTTTCTTCAACCTATAAACAAAATAATTCAATTTTTTACCAGATTGGCACAAAATGAATGTAATAATTTTGGTATTTCTGTAGGACGCTCAAAATGGTTGGCCGCATGCGTTCTGGCACAGTTTGATATGTTGTGATTTTTTTTAGTAATTTAATAACTTTTCTTAATGTACTGTAAATTGGATTTCTTTATAATTTAAAACTTTAAAATAAACTTTTTATTTTTTTTCGTGTATCGATTCGTCTATGTTATTAACTTTTTTTATATAAATGATTGATGTCCATTGACTAAACAACAGCACAAATACCTTTTGTCCAATATCATCGGCTTCCTTCTTCAAGGTTTCCAATGTCGCGATTACAGAGTCATCATCCAAGATCTTTCCTTTAGCGTCGTTGAGAGCTTGTAGAAGCGACTTTTCGAGTTGACGCAAACGGAGGTGGAATTCGCCTGTGCCGTAAGAACAGTATTTTAAATGAATAACCTCCTGCAACTCACTAATTTTATTTACATACGACTACATTTAGCGACCCGCCCTCGCTTCGGTTTGGAAACATTACATTTTAATATTGATAGCTGAGTCCCGCGATGTTACCCGCGGTTATTGTCGTACCGCGGGTGAAGCCGCGGGGTGGAGCTAGTTTAAAAAAAGTAGCCTAAGTTACTCCTTATATCATCAGCTACCTATCAGTGATATTGTCGTCATAATCGGTACCAGCCGTTCCAGAGATTAGCCGGAACAGACAGACAGACAGATAAAAAAAGTAAATAAAAAATGCTATTTTGGTGTATGTGCCGTATATATATATATTCATATGCATGTAGTAAAGAGGCTATTTCAATATTACAAACAGACACTCCAATTTTATTTATATGTATAGATATAGGAAGTAAGTAGGATTTTAAGAGTACCCTCTTTTTCCCTATCAATTAGCTAGTAGCCTATGGGACTGCTTCAGCTATGCCTGAACGGGTGGGTGAGCTCACGGGCTCAACCTGATAGAATTTGCTAAGCCTTAGCAAAAGCAGTGCTTCAAAGAATCTACCGTCAGAACGGCTCTTAATTTTTTTATAAAATTAATTAATAGAAACGCGGACTCACCTTGTAGTTTGAGTAAGTCGGATCGTTTGGCGTCGATGTCAGGTCGCTCCGCCTTGAGTACTCTGTGCAGACACTGCGACTGCAGCGACGAGCGGGTGACGGTGAAGTTAACGAACGTCACTCGCGAGCACATGTCCGGAGGGAACTCCACAGTCGGGTCTCTGGCCGTTGGAAAATACTTTTATGTTACATTGAAATATTTAACTTGAATATATATAATGTAGGTAGGGCTGGGTCTACGATGCTTATACTTCGAACGTTAGGCGTCGTTGGGTATTGTCGGAGAAACGAAATACAGTAGTAGTTTACTTTACATTATAAGGTTTAATGATACCACAAGACACTCTATACAACATTTAAGTAGGTATATAGGGACACGCGATGGTTCAATATCGACCGCTCTAGCCGACTGCCCCCGATAAGTGTTGGTCGTGTGCTCCGCGCAGCCGGTGAATAGTTGGCCCATCGAACGCCGACAGACGACGCTTGCGTCCCGTATCAAATATTGGCTGCAGCAATCACGTTTTGATTGCGACATATACAGTCGTGGTCAACTAATTAGGGACAATCTCTAGTTAAGCCAAATTGTGAATAATTTTTTTATTTTCCAACGAGTCTTAGCAATATTCCATATCTTTTACATGTAAGTGTAATTAGTCATTTATGTGCGCGATTATACAAACAATAACAACTTCTTAAACATTAAACCTCTTTACAGTATAGCTGATACAATATNACTGAGTACTGATTTTACACGTAATAAAATGGAGCTGTTAAAGATATTATAACACTGAAGATTATAAGTTTTGTGTAACTGTATTTTTCATTATACTTTACTGTCCTTAATTAAATGTCCACTACAAAATTGTACCTTAATATTTAATACATGTTTAATCTTTGATATTAAATACTTTTTCTATTTATTAAATCTTTTATTTACAGCCTAACAGCAATTTATAGCATAATAATCGGACCACATTATGCAAATAATAGGTGCTGAGAAATCAATAGGGTTTTATATTTAAATGTACATAACCGGTTATAGCCCTTCACTATCTTGAATGTCCCTAATTAGTTGACCACGACTGTATATATATATATTTATTGCCTTTGTAGGGAGACGAGCATACGGCTCACCCGACGGTAAGTGGTCACCGTCGCTCATGGACGTCAGCAATGGCAGGGGCAGAGCCAAGCCGCTGCCTACCATAAAGTACTCTCCGCAAGCCTCTTTTGAAGAAGGACATGTCATAGCGCTCGAGAACAACCGTGGAGGGGATTTCATTCCAAAGGCTTAAATCACTTTAAAATACCTTATCACTAAAAATTCTTATTTATAAATTTGTATATCCTCTTTGGAAATCTTTCGATATTAGGAGATCAGCTAATTGAATATTGAATGGTGTTTTCTTATAACAGTCACAGGTTACCTTGTACTGAGGAAGATGACGAATGACGGACTTAGATCGATGTCCTGGTCTCCGAGCGTGATGAGCACGCGACCGCCCGTGCGACGCAGCTCCCGGTTTAATACCGGATTTAGAATAGGATCGTAGTTCTCAACGTCCTGTCAGGAGAAAGACATTGTATTATCCACTACAATCTTAGTGTGTGCGTGTATGAAACAATTATACGTCAAGTCTGGTGTTACGTAAATTATGTGAAACTACTTTGAGTGCAACCACTTCTGTCGCAACAAAGACAAAGAAATTCCGTGCTCTGTGATATCTGATGGTTTTTTTTCTGACTCTTTCTGTGCTGTCAAAATTGTTTCATCTCTGTCTGGTGCAAACACGCATAGCCACTCTTTATTCTTAATTTATCGGTTATTCAAAGTGTTTTCCAAGAAATAATCAATTCTAGATTAAATGGTCTTGTGTAGTTTTATGTGGTTTGTGGATGTATAACTCAAATTAAAATAGTCCTAGTTAGTACCTGCACGTAACATTGGCGTCGAAATGGTTGCATCAACAATAATGATATTTTGAAAACAACACCATATAACACTTTATTAAACAAACAGTTGTTTTTATTCAAACTATCTATTGTGTGAATACTAGGGCAGTAGTCGACTAGTGTTATGTTAAAACATTCGAGACGACTTCAGTTTTTTTCCAATTGTCAAATAATGATACCAGAAGAATGCGATACAGGTAAGTCTTTTTTGCCTTTAGACCAGCCTTTCCCAAAGTGGGCGATAACGCCCCCTTGTGGGCGCTGCAGGCCTAAAGGGGGGCGGTAAGAGATCCAGAAAAAAATAGGGGGTGTTGTGTAGAGGCTTGGCAGGCGATTTGTAATTTCATCTAAGAGGACTCTTAGACACCGACTGAGCTTTCGCTATAGTGATTTTTAAGTAGGTGAAAAAATGGGGGCGCTAATAATTAATTTATTCTCATAGTGGGCAGCAGAAAAAATAATTTTGGGAGCCCCTGCTTTAGACGATAGAAAATAATATCGCTCAACTGATGGTAAATGGTAATCAATGCAATGTCTATATAATATCTATTAGACATCAGTAATCCGTTTGCAGCATAACTCAGACGCTGCTTCAAGCTTTTTTTCTTATAGGCCCAGATGTTATGGACGCATGTATTCGTTAAATTAATTACTGTGCATAACACATACCTGTACAAGTAAGGGGTTTCCGAACCGGAGTGCCGATTCCAAGTTCTTCCGGAAGGAATCATCAAGGAAAGACGTTTTGGTGATTTTGCGTTCCTTAAATTCGCGCATTATGAATTCCGTTGCTTGTCCGGACGGATCTATGATCAGCGGGTAGCGGTTGAAGCGCTGAGAACAAAAGAGTTGCATATTTAATATTTAAGTAACGTATTTATTACACGTATGTATTAATAGTGAGCCTATGTGGATTGAGAATTACTCAGAGCATTAGTTCCATTCAGCGAACACAAAAAAAATCAGTACCTTTATGACTTCTGTAATTTTTTTTATTAATCGATATTGATGAGCTTTAGTATTTTTGTCTCGTTTTTACAAATGTCAACATGTACAATGTCACAATCGAACAAAATATTAAATGTAGTAAAGAGAATTACTCCTAAATTTTGACGTACCAATATCGATCACCTACCCAACATTATTGTAGCTTTATAAATGTAAATTGTTTTCCGTTTAGCGTGGTTACATTTGTCGCCATTTCGGCTCAAAGATTCGGCTTCCTCGTAACTTTTATACGCATTATTTGAGATTTTTTAAAAGGTGAAATTACCTTACCAAAGTTAATGAAAATACTATGTATGAAATTGAAACATATAATACCAAAGATAGGACTTTTTTTATTATTGTTTAGATGGGTGGCCGAGCTCATAGCCCACCTGGTGTTAAGTGGCTACTGGGGCCCATAGACATCTATAACATAAATGCGCCACCCACCTGAGATATAAGTTCTAAGGTCTCAGTTTAGTTACAACGGCTGCCCCGCTCTTCATACCGAACCATATTACTGCTTCAGGGCAGAAATAGGCAGGGTGGTGGTACCTACCCGTGCGGACTCACAGGAGATCCTACCACCAGTAAGTTAATTTCAAAGCTATGTATTAATGAATCATTTTTGCGAATCATCTTACCCTGAGCATAATTGCATTTTCAACGCATAGTTCGTCAGTGGGCAGGGCGTTAGCTTGCCAGCGCAGTCTCTCGTCGGGGTTGCTGAGGTACTCCGTGCGCGCTATGTCCGCTCTGTACCGTATGTTGGCCGCCGCAAGGTGATTGGTCCATGTCGTAAATAGATTTTGACGATACTGAAGAAAAGATTTTTTTTTAATTAACATTTGAAAATATTTTACAAACGTTAGGAGATCGCTTCCGAAAACGAAGACAGACGATAGGAAAAAAATCGTACTAGATTTAAAAAAAAAAAACATTTTTTCCAAACTTTTTATTAGCATTATTTACGCTCCATCATGTTAGTATAGCTAAATGAAACGATAGTTTCATAAAAAATACATTACTAACAAAACCAGTAATGAAACACAAAATCAAAAACTGCTGATGCTCGGATCAACGAACGCACAGGCGCGGTGCAGACTCTGTCTCAAATATTTGTGCGCGATCGCACAAATATTTATTTACAAAATTTGTCTAAATAACTCCATCATCAAAGGTGTCATTAGTATTATCGTCTGTCTTCGATAGTACTAACTACCAGTTTTAAAGTGATTCGGTCACATCTCCAGAAAAGAGGACTCGATGAAAGAGATTGGTAGTCCAAGGCAAGAGATCACGCGGCCGTTCACCAACCCACTGGACTGACATAATAAAATAGGCAACTGATTCCACCATGGTCCAATGTATTAGAAACGCTTCAAACCGCCAGATCTGAAAGCGCATCGCCAGGAGGGCAATCCCCGAGATAAGGTCTGAAAATGACCTAAAAATTCTTCTGCATGTGCATCGTCAGCGCAAACACAACCACTTTACAAGAGCGTCCGACTAAGAAGATACTATATAAACACACGTAATTTTGTGTGGAGTGTGAAACAAATAGCGGTGGGCTATAGATACGTATATTTCGTTTGCAATTCTTACATGTTGATCGAAGTATCCTCCGTAAGCGATGAAAGCTGCTGAAAGGAGCACGTCGCCGACGATAGTGCTCATTTGTGAACGGAACGTCTCCGAGCTGGACTCCCAACGCTCACGTTCGATCACTAAGCTCTTCAGGAGAGCGATAGATCTGTCCACCTGTACATCATAATAACAATATCATTTTAATCATATCAATTTTTATTGTATAACATAATTGAAGTGAAACTTCTAATGCGACTTCCAACAAGGTTACGTTAAACTTTTAATACTAGAAAGAGACAGAACGAGAGTGAATGCGTGGCACTCGAACGCATGCGCGTAGTATACCTGTTACAGGCCAGCGCCAGCGTTACCAACGAGTAGCGTTCAATATTTTAATGAAATATTTAAAAAAATATACTTATATATTTTTCTATCTATAATTTAAAATATAATATATAATATAAATGTTAAAGATGTCGCGTCTCTTATACACAGCATTCCCTATTACAAGAGACATCTGATTTAAGGCTGAAAAATGAAGAAAACCACTATACTACACATCAAAAAGAAGTTTCACTTCATTCACGTGCATCAAGTTGCACGCGCACCGTTTTTTTTATATAGTTCTTCTTGCAGATTACAAATGTTTAAGATCACAATATTGTACAAGACGCGGTTACCTTAGCTTGTACATTTTCGAGGTCGGTCTTGATGGCCTGCGCTTGACTGATTAGTTGAGCGTACTCTTCTTTGTACGAAGCGATCGATTTCTCCAGCTGAGCAATAAGTTCGCGCACTTCGTTGCCGGCCGTGACGTTGCTCTGAGCCTGGTCCTCGAGGGCTTGGAGCTCGTTACGCAGAGGCTCTACGCGTTTCAACATGTCAGCATATTCAATCTTAAACGAGAAGAACACAAGTGAAACAGTCGCTTGTAAAGTTAACTAGAGGAAGTGTTTTTTTTTTTTTTTGATAAAATGTGTTTTTTAGAAATTGTATTGAAATAAGAATTACATATTGATATTATATTATATAACTTGTTATTTTCTTTTAATAAATAAAAAGTTTGTTTAAGTTGATTATCGATGAAGTTGATTATTGAAAACACGAATAAAACGACATTTTCTGAGAATAAATCGTAGCTAGATCGATTTATCGCCCCCGAAATCCCTTGTATACTAAATTTTATGAAAATCGTTGGAGCCGTTTCCGAGATTCAGATTATATATATATTTATATACAAGAATTGCTCGTTTAAAGATATAAGATACATTCTTTCTTCTTCAACGAGGTTAGTGAACATACCTGAGCAATCGCCCATTTGACCATAGGTCCGCACGCCATACTCGCACGGTTGACTTTCTCGAAGTTATAATCAGGGTTGCTGAGGTACCTGGTCCTCATTTTCTCACGTACGTCGTCACTAACAACACACACTTTGATTAATAATTAGAAAAATTACATTAAATTGGACCAAACATTACGTGCTCGCGTGCAAGGCCAATAAACCAAACCGTTTCAATGAATGAAATTCCTCCTTGTTCCCGGGAAGTAGTTCCTATTCATGCAATTTCCATATATTTTTTTCCAATAAAGGACGTCACTTACCCGATACACAGCAAACATATTTCCAGAGATAAACACTTAAAGTCTCAAAAGAAAGACGCATTAGACAGCAAATCAAATAAAACGAAACAAAAGTATGAAGCGAACTTTCACTGTCTGTGGTGACTTTTGTCGGCTGGAATCAATGTGTATTTGAACATCATTATTGGCAAATACATTCATGCTTTACTGTATTATACGCGAGGGAACCATGAAACGTTAATATTTTATTAAGTATTATAGTGTTTTGGAGATTATTCGTGTTTGGTAAGTGTGTGGAGTTTTAGAAGGCAGGTATGATTGGTTGTCTGATTCTGTGAATTCTATTCTTATTGAAGATATTATTGTATTAATAATTAGCTGGTACTGTAATTGGATTGTGTGATTAGTGTTTGCAAATGTGCTACACGTGTGTGGTTGTGGATGAACTTGTTATGGACGTGATATATCGAATCCCAATTAGGGGCAGGGTTCGATACAAAAAGATTTTAATTGATAAATTAACGTGATCTTATACAGGTTATTTAAATTCGTTTAATACGTGGTTTCCATAGTCGTTTAAATAGAAATATATATTCGTATGTTATATATAATGAATACGTGCATTCCGCATGCTTTACGCCTAATACGATACACTCATGCATTCATTCATGCCAGACATGCGGAAAAATGCAGCACATTTAAACCGAAATAGCCCAAGCGATAAAACATCATGCAAAACTAAAAACAACTATTGCTTGTTTGTTCCATCAGATACAGTTCAACAGAAGATCGACAAGCAAAGATTGTTTTAGTACAGAGCACGCAAACCGGCACCACACACGGACGAGTATTGCGGGGGAGGAGCGGAAAACAAGCGGCGGTGCTCACGTTATGTCCTCCGTCGAGAAATTGGAGACGATGCTATTGATGAAGTTCTCCCGCATGATGACCGCCCGGATCGCCTTCCAATCGGTTGCGTTCTCGCCCAGCAGCAGGCAAATAGATTCGAGGGCCACCTTCACTATCGCCGGCGGGTTGCCCATAGACCTCACTTCGACCAAATGCTGCTTCTTTATAGATTTCACCGCTGTACAGTTTTAACCAGCCGTTCGGGGTTGCCAATCGTCGCGTCCGTCCACCACGAAGCGAGAGCGAGAGAGTACAAAAGGAGAGAAACAAAAAAAGGCGTTTAGCGGCTTTCTGCGACCATGCGGCTGGCGTTATTACTGTACACACGCGACGACCAGCGTTCGTCCGGGAACCAGACCGTGGCGGTACTGCGCCCGGACGAACGGTGGCGGTCCGTAGTCAGAGCCCGGTCATTTCACAAATAGACAACATATAGTTTAGTCATTACTGTTAACATGTTAATGTTTACATCGACGACGATGCCGAGCCGGGTTAGTTACGAATGTCCACGTATATATTAGTGTGCTTCAAGTAAACGTTTAAAAAATAAGAATGTTTTTTTAGTTGTCACAGCGTTACACAAGTTCATAATATTAATAACAACAGTCACATAATGCAAGCGAGCTTAGCTTATATACAATTGTACTTAACTAAAACAATATTCATTCACGAACAGTGTAGAAAAATAATAATTTCAGTTCTCATATCAGTCATCACATTCGAATTAGCTAAATACGTACAGAATAATAGTAGTAAAAATACGTTACTAAACATTTGTAATACAAGATGTTTTTGCCAATAAACGTCTAAAAACTAAACTTACTAGTTGCTATCTAATATGTTGATCTCTAGAACAATTCATTCAAGTATTCAAAAGACAGAGATGGCACGTGGTCGAGCCGTTACAATTCGGTTAAGTCACGTTTCAACGACACATTAAAGTCTTGCACTATAGATGGCGGCCACGTGTTATCTACCAATCAGAGTACACCATTAAAACTAACGTGATGTTCTCCGTCTCGAAGTTAACTATGGTCGATATGAAGTTGTCCTTCATGACGACGGACCGTATGCCCTTCCACGTGTCGCCCTTCTCCCCGAGGAGGGTACAGATGGACTCGAGCGCCATCTTCACCACGGACGGAGGGTTCGCCATCGAGCGCACCTCGACCAACTGCTGCTTCTTGATCGACCGCACGGCTGTGTTGTACAAGTATCTTCGCTTTTAATACTAGCTTTGCGAAGTGAAACTTCTTTGGGCGCAATCAAGGTAAAATTAAAAGGTCATATTCGAGTGAAACAATAAAATACATTTCTTTTTCAAAAATTAATAGAATTAATAGAAATTAAGACCGAGATCGCCAAAAAAGTCTCACTTCTAGAAACTTAAGATGTACAATAAATTTAACGCTATTTATATATTTTTTTTTTTAATAGTTTGAGTACATTGCAATAATTACTGTATTCAAAGAAATCTACTTATTATACATATAAGATAAAGCATTTCTGCGTGCAATGAATACAAATATTCTGTATATGTGATTATGATTTAAAAAAATAATTTGTAATCATCAAAATAATTATACTATATAAAACATTCAAAGTAGCATCTTTTTATTCGTTTTAATTCTATAAACATTAATCTAACTACAGTAAGTCTTGACTACGAGACGAATTGATTATTGAAAAAACAAAACGCTGTTGTTATTTCATATTTGTAATTCAAGATCAACCTACTACTACTAGTCTATTTTAGAAAGGTATTAAAATATATTTCATGCGTATGAAAAAGAAAACCAAACCGTTTTGCGCTTCGATAACGGCTGGTTCCACTTGTGCGAGGTCCGCCATCACGTCCCTTCGCTTGGCCTCGATCTCCTTGGTTTGTTTCTCCAAAGCGACCTGTAGTGTCGTGACAGATTAGTAACAAGTCTGAACTCCTTAAATATTCCCGTTTATCAAAGATTTGTAGTGAATATAACCAAATATGTGCATTAATTGATCGCATCGACATTTTTAACGACACGTGTCCTGGTCTCAAAAACAAACTATATAGTATCCAAGTTCCTTGGCTTATAGTTGATGAGAGAATGTTAAGTAGTTAACTCTTATTTTCATGTTCTTTTCAATTATTTTTTTATGTTGTACTGTTAACATTTAAATTTAACCTATTTTTCCGCTGTTTGTAAAATAGCTGTAACATGTCTGTAACTGGCTTACCAGTACTTAATTTTATACTTGTTGATTTTAAGCTTGAATGTTTTGTGTGTATTACTGTTGGTGTGTCTAAATAAATAAGTAAATAAACTGTATCCTCGAGAGTATCTCAAAATCTCATACCTGAATTTCCTGACTCTCGACCTTCTTCTTTTCAGCTTCTTGTTGGTCCTTCACCATTTGCCGCAACTTCGCATTGGCGGCTTCGTTCTTGGCTTGTAGTTCCTAATGACATTTACATTTTTAGGTTATTAACACATTGACTGCCGTGTAAGTCACCGGTGCCCTACGCGGCGCCCTGAAGTAATTACGTCGACTTCTCACTTCGATCTTCTTACTAAGGCGCCGGAATATCTAGTAGACTCCGGGAAAGACGAATCCGAAGATACTGAGAATGAATCTATTCCTGACTAGCTGACCCGGCAGACTTCGTAATGCCTCAATCGATAAATAAAAGAAACTTTTGTATAAAATAAACTAACAAACAAAAGGAATCCGTCGGACGGGGTAAACATCAAAGGAAAAACAAAATTGTTATTTTTATTTAATTACGAGCATTTACATATTTATTTACCTTTTCAACCTTCTCTGGACTTTCACAAATAATTCAAGACCAAAATTAGCTAAATTGGTCCAGCCGTTCTCGAGTTTTAGCGAGACTAACGAACAGCACTTCATTTTTATATATATATAGATTTACATAAAAGACTAAAACATAATATATTAACAAACAAAAATATGTAGTTAGGCAATCCGGGCGTTTAGTAACAGAAATCGACATAATTACTTGAATGCGCCGCGTAGGGCACCGGTGACCTACACGGTAGTCAAAGGGTTAAGAGTTATGACTACTGTTAAGACAATCCAAAAAGTTTGACAATAATCGTTCTGTCGAAAGTAATGGAGTATTGTCGTACCTGAGATTTGACCGCTAAGCTCTTCTGCATCTCCTCGACCTGCTCGACGGTTTCGGCGATCTTACCGAGACCCACGTTCAAGTGAAGCTGCTGCTCCTCCAGGTCGGCACGTTTTTCGGCGTAAAGCTTAACCATTTGTTGGATAAAGTCCAAATAATGCCTGGAAAGTATTTCGTTTTAATGTAAATAAAAAATTAAGAGTAAGGTGTGTCTTTAAATACTTTAATGTTTTATTAACTACAATACTAGTCTAATATCGTTCAATCACTGCAAGCAGATCGTCGATTGGATTTTGAAAATTCTATGATTACATCTTTGAAATTATTTCTATTTCGCTAATTATTCTATTATTACGCCTATTTCTGCCGTGAAGCAGTAATGCGTTTCGGTTTGAAGGGCGGGGCAGCCGTCGTAACTATACTGAGACCTTAGAACTTATATCTCAAGGTGTGTGGCGCATTTCCGTTGTAGATGTCTATGGGTTCCAGTAACCACTTAACACCAGGTGGGCTGTGAGCTCGTCCACACATCTCGGCAATAAAAAAAACCTACCACCAGTAACCCTGAATCCTGTATTCAGCGAGTGCGGCTGGTGGGAACTAGAGGGTTCACCTGGGCGTGATGGCCATGGTCCTGTTGGCGCGCTTGGCGAGCCTGGCGTTGGCCTGGTGCAGCGTCTGGTGCACGTACACGCAGGCGTTGACCACGGCCTCGCGGTGCGCCGGCGCCGCGCCCACCTCGCCGCACGCCGCCGGGAACTCCGCGGGCGGCACGTACTCGGCAGACTCCAGGTCCATGCGGCTCGTGAACTCTTTACCCACCTGTAACGTCACTAACGTTAGTCCAGGGCACGGGTGACGTGTTGAAAAAAAAACAGTTTGATGACAGGTTTTTTTTTTTTTGTACCTAACCATATAGCCTTGAGAAGCTATATAAGCGTAGCCTCAACTAGTAGGTGAGCTCACGGGGCTCAAACCTGATGACGTTGCTAACACGAACCCTAGCAAGAGCCGTGCTTCGCAGAATCTACCGCCGGATCGAAAGCGCGATCCACTGAGAAGATCCGGCGTGAACTCAGTGGGCTGTGTCTGAGGGTTAATTTACTCGTCGAGCCCTTCGTCGATGATCGGATGGATTTAAATATTTTGTTTCTCACTTGGAACAAAGCTCCATCGCTCCAGTCTCCGAACCAGTTAAGCACGCATCGGTTGAACAGAGCAGGAGATGTCGCGGCTCGGTCCTTCAAGCCCTCCGAGGACGGGTTCATTGTGAACACTACGTGCAAGTTGCGCATCACCTGGCTCGTGAACCTGAGAATAATTAGCACAACCAATGACTATTATGATATCCTTTTTTCAAATACTTCTATTCTTTTAGTTATTTGGTTCTACTTGGAATGCAAACTATTAAATTTATTTTATTACCATTTGTAAAGCTCGTCATTCGAATCTAGCATCAAACCCTCGCGTTGGGCACCTTCTTTACATTGGGTCATTAGTGCGGAAAATTCATCACCTTCAAATAACCCAGGCACCTAAAAGAATTATCGTAGTTTTGTTTAATAATGATGAAACAGAAGCTTATGTAAAATTGTTAAAAAGTGATTGGCCATTTCGTAATTTAAAACAAATCGTACCTCTCCATTAGCGAGTAGCGTGTTCATTCTTTCAAGGAATCCGCTGTCCAGTACGTTAGACTCATCTAATATGAAGGCGACTTTTTCGTCTCTACATCCAGCGCGACGAAGAACCGAGCGAAGGTCTTCGTCGAAGTCAGCACCAGTGTATTTGTTGTGAACCTAAGTACCGAAAAGAGCTCTTAAGTATAACATGGAATATTGTGAATGCTCGTCACTGCATGGAGGCAAAATTAAATACATTCGTTTTTGACTCCGTAAATACACGTATGATATATATTATGTACTTATAATTGAGCCGTTTAACTTTACCTTGATTTGGAAAATGCTGAGTCCGTTCATCCAAGCGACGAAACGACTCAGAGTTGTCTTTCCCGCTCCGGACACTCCGATGAGTAGCAGATGTCCCTGCGGCTGTCGGAATATCCGATCGATACGCAGTACGTGGTCCAGGACTTCATCGAACAACACTAACGGAACATCTAATTCTTCTTCATAGAACACCTAAAAATAATATTTGGTATTATTATATAAAAACATAAATGTTAAAGAATATTTAGAATTACATTTAATAATTCGTGAGTGAGTGAGTTCGTACCTTCAATCTCGCTTTTACGTATTCGCGAAGTTGGTCTCGTAAAACTGGCACATAATCTTTGCTCAACCAATTACTGTAAAGTATTGGACGGGCCAGAGCTTGTTCTCTATTGATACCTAAAACCATGACATTTCAATAAATCAGTTTTATTAATTATGTTTGAGGACGTACATTTAAATCTACTCGTATTAATTAGATGTCTCACCAGGGAAGAATCGCATGGCTACAGTATCGATGTTTTCATCCGTCCATTGTCTCTCAACATCATCAACCAAACGATCTTGGAATAGCCGCAGAGCCTCGTGCGCCCACAGCCTTACCAGACCTTCTACAGTCAAATTGTCCAAAGGCCTAAAAATTTAAAATACAAAGCTCAGTAGTTGGTAAATTAAAGCGCGGTTTTCTAGAGATTTTGTTAAAGTTTTTTTACCTTATAGCTTCGCATATTCCTCTAACCCATCGGGTCATCTCACGGGGCGAATACACATAGTGCGGCTGCATATCCTGAGTGAATCGTTCTTGAGAAGCGAGGTATAATTTCACCATCGCTTGAGTAAGCGGCTCAGCGTATCCGCGCAGGGCCGGCTGCATACGGAGCATGGCGCGGGTGAACGTGCCGTAGATCTGATTGATAGTTGAAGTGTATTAGCAGAAATATTACTGGTGGTAGGACCTCCTGTGAGTCCGCGCGGGTGGGTACCACCACCCTGCCTATTTCTGCCGTGAAGCAGTAATGCGTTTCGGTTTGAAGGGTGTGGCAGCCGTTGTAACTATACTTGAGACCTTAGAACTTATATCTCAAGGTGGGTGGCGGCATTTACGTTGTAGATGTCTGTGGGCTCCAGTAACTATTTGACATCAGGTGGGCTGTGAGTTTGCCCAACCAACTAAGCAATAAATAAATAAAAAATAGCGGAAATATGTTATTAGGTCTGAAGAGATCAAGTGTCCGAGACATTACATTAATAGACATTTTGAGTGATTTATGCTGACCTGTTCCAGAGACATTTCTCCAGGGTAGTCGACGTAAATAACCGGTACGTGTCTTAATAGACGATGTGAGAGTGGCTTCCTTCCGGGGTCCGTGGGCGGATTGCAAGCTCCAACGAACTGTATGCGCTCCAGATGTACCCAGGAATGGTCTGGTGAGAATGGTGATAGTTAAATTCCAATATCAATGAGAAAGAAAAATTTTTAGGAATATAATGGGACTTTTTAGTACGAACTTTATACTGATACTGATTAGAAATGTGTTAGTTGAATCTAAAGCTGACTCTCGCACTTTGCATGTAAAATAGCTTGACACAACACTATATTTAGATATTGACTAGCGACCCGCCCTCGCTTCGCTTCGGAAACATTATAACACACATGAAACAAAAAAAAAAAAAAAAAAGTAGCCTATGTTCATCAGGGACAATGTCGGCTTCTAATGGAAAAAGAATTTTTCAAATCGGTCCAGTAGTTTCGGAGCCTATTCGAAACAAACAAACAAACAAATCTTTCCTCTTTATAATATTAGTATAGATAATAACACTTACCGCTTGCGCGATAGAAGCCCTTGTGTTCAAGAAGTTGACGCAAGAAAGAAATGACTCGCTGGGTACCGTATTGATCCATGTCAGGTAAGTTAATTTCATCACAAAACAAAACCAACCATTTTCCGAGCTGAAATAGAAATGTTTGTTTATTTTTTAGTATTTGTTATCTAAATGTTGTCTATGAGTTCATCATTATTTTTTAAGTATCAGCTATCATGCTTTTATTTGCTATAATGGCATTGTGATTTTTTTATTTGTGTACAACTTTACTATTACTTTGTCATGGTGAAGTAATCAGAGATTTATACGCCTTGAGCTCAATTTGGACTGAGTATGGCGGTTATGGGAGTTTTTAGACATAAATAATTAATTAGCGATTGTTCTTGTTATAACGTTATTTCTAGAAAGTGAAATTGACGAGAAGCGGATAAAAAAATAGTTGCTGTCTCACTCTTTAAATCGTAAATCATTAACTTTGGAAGTGGTGCTTGATTGTAGGGTCACCAATGCTAGGCGGCACTAAGTTGTCAGTAATAGAGTAGACAGTTTATTCCCAACCACACACAGTATATTTAGCAGAAGGAGATAGTACGAAGAACAGAAGGCACTATGTGCACTACATTAACTATGTCACGTCTGAAATAGGCAGGGTACCTACACGTGCGACCTCACAACAGTTCATCAACAGCCCACAGTCGTCCACTGGTGGACATAGGCCTCTCCCAATCTACACCACTGAGCCCGGTCTACGGCTCTTCTCATCCACTTCTTGCCGACCACCGTTCGGAGGTCATCGCACCACAGCCTAGGGGCGTCCCACGTTACGTCTTCCGCTGCGCGGTTTCCACTCGTGAACCCGTTTGGAGACGGTCACAACAGCTAAATAGTTTGAATACAGATCAAGTGTATACCTGCACCGGAGCGAGCACAACGCCGTTCGGAGTCTTCCTGTACTCGCAGTAATGATCGAATGTTTTCAGCAGCAGCTCCGGCGTCGTGGCGGACGAGAAGTTCAACCCCACCACCTCCATGTCGGGCAGAGCTCGGAGCGCAGAGAACAGGGTCATCGTCTTCCCGGAGCCGGGCGGACCGCACAGAACTGCGCATTGTGTTTATTGATCACTAGGAGCACAGCCGGGCACCGTTAATCAAATAGTTATCTTCGTTAATCGTTAATCCGATACAAAAAAAGTTAGCTTCGTTAAACGTTAAAGCGTTAACATTTTTTATTACTGGATTAACTTTTAAGTTAACTTCGTTAATTAACGATCAGCGGATTAACGATTTAGTGCCCAGCTATGACTAGGAGTATGCCACAGTGTCACTAGCATTCCATTTCGAAATTCAAAATTAAGACGCATTTCATTTATAATAAAAAAAAAAAAATTTTTTTCATAGAATATTATAAAAAAGGGAATTAAATTAACGGCTTAAAAAAGTACTCTGAAAATTATAATAGGATCTTATTATAAAGACTATTACTAAATATAATTATGATACGTAAATGCCACGCAGTCATTCCAGGATCTGTTTTTGAGAAATATTAGATTTTGAAGTGAAATTTCTTTAGAATCGTTGTGATTTCAAACTCGGTGAAACGAAAAAATAAGTCCATAGAGACACAAACACATAAATGTATAGGATTCAGCCAGCGAGAGAATGAGATAGAACACATTATACGTGAAGTTAAAATATCAATTCACAGAGGGCGCTACCTCATACTATAAAATATGATTTAAAATTATTTAGTAATGACAAAATTTTACATATACTTAGACATTTAGGATAATTGTATTTTAATTTTTGAAGGTTTCGCTTCTACCACGAGTAAATTGCACACATGTTTTTTTTTTGTTTTAAAGGCATCTTAATTTTTTTGGGCTTTTTTACGTTATAATATCCAAGACTTTTTAAAATTTTGATTAATATTATATCTTTAATTTATACACACCCAAAGGTTTATGTTCGGCAAGCCAAGTATAAAGCAAGGCTTCGTGACGCACTGTGTCCAAGGTAGGAACGACAACGTCAGGTGCAGCAACTTTGTGAGTTTCAACTTCGATTTGTGGTACTTTCGCGGACCACGGAACCCATTCTCCGGTCACGCTAACCTGCGTGTACGTCACAAAACGATATATTTATTTTCACGGCACAGAAAACGTCACGTTTATAATGGAATATCGATTAAAATTTGGTTATAATACTTTACCTCAAAATCGATAATGTGTTGATTGGGTCCGCAATTGGGTAGCAGCATTGTGCTGGCTGATCGTATGAAATCACCGAGTTCATTGCGATCCTATAAAATTTGCAACATTAAGAAGAATGTTAGAGCAATAACTAAAATTTATATCAATCAATGTGGTTTTTTACAGACCTTTAATTTTGCGTCACCAGCAAATGACCATAGTAAAGAATAGACCAGCCATTTCGGTATGTAGGCTTCTAGTTGCTCGTTTGTGATGGGGAAGTCCGGATGTTGTCGATTGTATCCCAGTATATTCCTGAAGTACACAATTCCAGTTATATCTAATGTTCCATATAAGATGAATTTGTTACACGCGACACCACCTTGTCAAGTTTTTTTTCCTCTCCAATTTAACGCAAATAGACCAATATTGTGTTGATGCCCACTTCGATTGAGGGGTAGATTGAGTATTCGAGCTTCGACTATCACCTTTAATTCGTCGTTGTTGACTTTAGTTTCCGTGCGACCACGCGATTCATTTTTAGATAAAAATTTCCATGTCGGAAGAGCAATATGTTATTGATAAATTTATTACCTAACACCGCGGTTAAGCATAGAGTGCAGCGAAGACAGAGCTCGATGCCGAGTGAAGTCCATTATGTGATCGAGGGATGCAGCTCTTTCGAGACATTTGACCACGAGACCGTCGCCAAAGAAAAGTGGTTGTAGTATAGCCGCTACGTCACGCTGCGTCTGAAAGGTCACCACAATTAGTTCAATCTATACTAATATTATAAAGAGGAAAGATTTGTTTGTTTGTTTGTTTCGAATAGGCTCCGAAACTACTGGACCGATTTGAAAAAATCTTTTTCCATTAGAAGCCGACATTGTCCCTGATGAACATATGCTACTTTTTAAAAAAAAAAAAAAAATTATTTTTTTGGTTTCATGTGTGTTTTAATGTTTCCGAAGCGAAGCGAGGGCGGGTCGCTAGTTTCATAAATAAAATTATATATATCTTACCCAATGTAATGTAGGCACATTCAAGGAGACCAATTCCATTTCTAATAATAATAAATATCTTGCTAGGGCCAGTGTTGGCAACACTCCGGTTTGAGCCTCGTGAGCTCACCTACACGTAATACTGAAATAGTCCCTGAAGGCTATCAGCATAGGTAAAAAAAAGTATTTGTTGTGGAATCTTATACTTACTTGTAAAGCGGGTGACAGTATATTTTCTGTGACATTCTGTTCACTACCGGGTGTAGGTGCAGCCATGACAATACTGAACGAATCCTCCTCACCATCTTCCAAAGGAATATTTTTCAATCTAAAAACATTTTATTCCTTTAGTATTTAGAAAAAGATATTCTAAGTTACTAATTTTTTTCCATGTTTTATTAACTTTATCGGTATATAAAATTGAAATAAAAAGTTAGAAACCTCATCAGATAATTTTCGAAGATCATCTCCGTTGTCAGGACGTCTTGCGAGAACCAAACCATACCGCAACGAGACACTGTAGCAAGCGTTGCGTATTTCAAGTCTTGTACCTATAAAAATTATTGTAATAAAATAAAACGTCCAAAAAGTTACTATTATTCTTACTAAGTTAATCCTAATTTTTTCTTCTTTTCGCTTGCATATTAATATTTGTCTAATTTAGCTACAATGGAACTATGTCCTTGATTGACACTCGGAGTTAATAATAATTTATTTTTACATTAATAAATTTTCAAAAGCTTTTAAATCAGATACCAACAATTCAAGAGAGTTCTGGAAATTTCAAGAAAAACTTTTTACCTCAAACATGATTCTGACATTCGGAGGCAGCGATAGACGTTCACCGTTTGGCAGAGTGAGGAGCTTGTTGTCGTCCAGTACAGAGTTCAAGTTCTCGACCCACTCGGGATCGACGTCACCGTCGAATATAATCCATTGGCGTTTGTTGATCTCACCTCGTACGTTATCAATTATTTTCCTTTAACAATAAACAGGTAATTTTATATCAGACGAGGTACGAAGGTATTGGATGATTGATACAAATGATTTTAATACAATTTTAGACTAAGCTTTTAGACAAAAATTTTAACAATTTTAGACTAAACATTTACTGGTGCCGGACATCTTGTGAGTCCGCGCGGGTAGATACCACCACCCTGCCTATTTCTGCCGTGAAGCAGTAATGCGTTTCGGTTTGAAGGGCGGGGCAGCCGTTGTAACTATATTGAGACCTTAGAACTTATATCCCAAGGTGGGGTGCGCATTTACGTTGTAGATGTCTATGGGCTCCAGTAACCACTCAACACCAGGTTAGCTGTGAGCTCGTCCACCCATCTAAGCAATAAATAAAAAAAAACTATCGTTTACCTTAATATATGTGTGAAGAGACCATCAGTCCATTCACGTGTGTTTGGATCGAGAACACCGTATAAAGTTTCCTTTGACATCGCTTTTGGATCGATCACGTGGGCAACACCTTCAACGCCTTCGAATCTGTTTTAAAAAAAAAAACAATCAAACGTTAAATAAAATATAAGTCTCCTATTCGTTACTATAAAATCACATACATAACGTTTGGTAACTATTTGTTCCTCTACTTATTTGCTGGCAGCCTAAGGGGCTGTTACAGCTACACGCTTACGTGGTACCAACTTATATAAAAGAGAATGTATGTGCGTGTATCAAAAACTTGAGAACTGTTGTCCCAATTGATATGAAACTTTGCACACATATAAAGGACGACATGACCACTCCGACGAGCATAGTTACGTTAGTGGCGGATAGGTAGCGCTGGTGGCAGTCATTTTTTCTTTTTTTGAACCATAGGACGAATTGATACGAAATCTACACGATAATATTTAAAAGAGAATAAGTTTGTCAATAATGTTTGAAAACTTTACCTCTCCAAAGCTTTAAGTAGTACCCGCCATGCGGTAGATTTACCGCTGCCCGATGGCCCGACCATCATCAAACCATGATTTAGTTTGCAGATTTGGTATAGTTGCAGTACCTGTACATAGATTATTATTAGGAAAAATAAGCGTCAGTGTTTTTTTTTCAAGATTGTATTACAGAATATTTGTTATTGGATATGACGCTTATAGATTTTATTTTTCATCCACCTTTTCTTGTGTAATTTGTATTCCATAGCATGTGATTTACCGATGTCATTTATAACTTACGAGGAGAAAAAGTAGAACTAAAAATAGACAAGCAAAATTCAAACTGGGATTTTTAAACTAATTCTCAATAATCTCAATTAGTATCTATTTATAATAGTGAAATTTTCTTCTCCATTTATAAATACTCAACTTGTTCTACTAGTAGAAATAACATATTTTGCCTTGTTACAGAACAGAACCAAAGAGGAAGTTCATTCAACGACACTTTCCCGAAAACAAATGTTGATAGAGTAAAGAAAAAAAAAACATTGTAAGGTTCAACAAGGATCAGGAATATATGAAGCTTAATGGACATAAACATTTTCAGACATATCCAGTCATGTGCATGGAGGGCGTGATATAGCGATAGTAGGACTTGAATGGAAGACTTTCGTGAATGAAAATAATTATTTTCGTTTATGTTTTAATATAAAGTTACTTAACAAAAAGCATTAAGGGCAGATTGACTGGTTATTTGTGATTGATAAAAATGTATAACTAAAAATATGTTGAGAGACCAACAAGTTATAATCCATTCAAATTTTATTCTGGTATTGAGGCAAAAGGATCCGAGAGAAATCATCCTCTACACAAAATCTTAATGCTTAAGACTCATCTGTATCAGTCGATATAAATTATTTCATATTATACAGATGAATGTTAATTTAAGTAAGTTGGTTTTAAAATGCGATACCAGTCAACTGCCCTATTGAGACTGTTCAGGAATGCTGCTATTCTCACGGAAGAAGGATCACAAATACTTTCACCTAATCCAACATTACAATCAAAAGCAGTTAAAACACGAGAAAATACCGACAAAAGCGTGTGTTTAGAAAATCATATATGAGTGGTGATGGCGACACACAGAGACGTGAGCACAAACAGGGAGTGAGAGAGCGTCCCACACCGGCCGGTCACTGACCTTGTCGATCCACGTGCTGAGAAGCGCTCGCGACGATTCGCTGCGCCTCTACGTGCCGTTAGCGGGTTAGCATGGAAACGCATACGCATTCACACTCACATACTAACGTATTATGGTAACGATATCATATTTTATTGTGTAGAGATTGCATTTAGGAATTATTACATTTGGTTAAATATGTCTTCAATGTTATTTAGGGAAAAACGTAATAAATCGTATAAATATTTGTTTAATGCAGTCACTACATAATTATAATGATAAGCAAAATGTTAAATTAGTTATGGTTATTTCGACATGAGTATTCTTTTGTACGAGATGTTCACAATAATTAAATATTTACCGTCACCATATTATTTCGTTGAATTTTGATGGAATGCCGTGTAAATCGTCAAATACAAGTGCATGTATGTTCATGTTTAGAGATGTGAACGACGAGTCACTCATGAATAAATATTGTCAATAATAATATTTGTGTCATAGCTGTTAACTCCTCAACCAATTTTTATGTTTATTTTAACTATAATAGTTCAATACATATTTATCTCAATAGAAAGTAAACACACCTTGTCCATCCAAGTGGAGCCTTGTTCGTCAGCTTCACCACAAACCAAAAATTCTTCAGCGCAAACTGCCCGAATTTCGTTCTTCAAACCTGAAAGAAATTAATATAACATTTATTAGATAATTCAAAAAAAAAAGTCAATTATGTTAGAAGGTGATATTTGTCTGAGGATATATATTTTTTTTGCTTAGATGGGTAGACGATCTCCCAGCCCACCTGGTGTCAAGTGGTTACTGGAGCCCATAGACATCTACAACGTAAATGCGCCACCCACCTTGAGATATAAGTTCTAAGGTCTCAAGTATAGTTACAACGGCTGCCCTACCCTTCAAACCGAAACGCACTACTGCTTCACGGCAGAAATAGGTAGGGTGGTGGTACCTACCCGCGTGGACTCACAACAGGTCCTACCACCAGTAACAAGGAGGATGATTTAAAAATTACCAGTCATTTCGGCTCTAGTGTACCCCACATTAGGGAACACGTCGTTCAGCAGTGAGAAAAGCAATGGAATATCCTCTGCTACCAGTTTCGGGACCATTGTCTCACAGACAGACTGAATTAGAATATCTTGTTCGGGTAGCGATTCTGCAATAGATGCTTCGTCGGGCACTTCTTGTCCTCGTTCAGCTAATGTCTCCTGCAAACACAAAATGTATATCATTTAGGTTATTTGTAGACTTTTAGCGGGAGGCAGCGGCTTGGCTCTGCCCCTGGCATTGCCGAAGTCCATGGGCGACGGTAACCACTCAACACCAGGTGGGCCGTGTGCTCGTCTGCCTACAAGGGCAATAAAAAAAAGACTGATAATAAGTTAACATATTTATACTTTGTACTTTATGTCAGCACAATATGCAGTCTCCCCGCATCGTTTGGGGACGTCAGAGTAAGAAATCACTGACATTGATGGTACATAATTATAAAAAAATTAAGTGGGGATATTTTAAATTATTGAATACCCTGAATGATGCAAGGTTACTGTAAGCATCAGTAGATGCGAGGCAAGTTTCTCACTCTGATTTTGCAATATGAAACTCACCTTTATCTTCTGTATGCGATCACGTTTCACATTACCGGCAGATACAAGCACTGATTTGAGTGCTCGCAAACCGAAATCGTAGTGAGATTGGTTCGATAGTTGTTCATCACACAGTCTGAAAGTCAACATTGATTTAAGACATAGAAACTTCTTTAGAATTATAAGCAATTTAAAAAAAGAAAAACTGGTGATTTTACTCGTGATAGGACCTCTTGTGAGTCCGCGTGGGTAGGTACCACCAACCTGCCTATTTCTGCCGTGAAGCAGTAATGCATTTCGATTTGAAGGGTAGGGCAGCCGTTGTAACTATACTGAGATCTCAGAACTTATATCTCAAAGTGGATGGCGCATTTACGTTGTAGATGTCTATGGGCTCCAGTAACCACTTAACATCAGGTGGGCTGTGAGCTCGTCCACCTATCTAAGCAATAAAAAAAAAAGGGCTTACTTAAAGAATGGTACAATTTTGCAGGCCAGCTTCTCAGCAGTTCGGAATCCCTGACTGAACAACATGACTTCGGCGATGAGTTGCCTGTCCGGGGTCGTCATAGCCAAGCTTCGGAATAGCTTCTTCAAATTATCAGGCAAGTTTGAGCGTCCAGCGTAACCAGGGTTCATGGTAATGAAGATCGCCATGTCTTGCGATACGCGGACTTGTTTACCTACCAGCTCCACTGTAATCGATTTACCTGAAAGAATTGTTGCGTTATTAATAAGGATAATTTAAAGTTTATAAAATTATGTGACTAATGTATCGATAATGATAGGAAACTAGGTTTTCTTTTTTTTATTATCTAACTTATAAGAATTTTATTTCAAATTAAAGTGGGAGTAAAGCAAGAGTTATTGTTGAAATTCATGTTATTAATTACTAGTATTGTCCCCTTCTTGGTGGCTTTTGAGAGCCTCCTGGATTGTCTGAACTTGTTGAGATACAGCAGACAGCATTCTTTCTTCGAGACGATTGAATTCATCGAAACAACCCCAGGCACCGACCTGTTTAACAAAATTTCGTGTTTGTACTCTATTTAAAAATACACGTCAAGGCCACTTAGTCTTATAAGAAAATTCACCTGGCACAGACCGACGAAGATACGGCCCATGGCCTGGAAGTCGAAGGTTTCATCGCAGTTGAAGACCAACACGAAGCGACCGAGTTGATTACCCAAAGCTTTTACAGACTCCGTTTTACCGGTACCAGCCGGCCCTATTAACAACGGAAAAATGAATAGTTAGGCTTGAGTTTTATACTTTATTGTTAATCTCAATATTTATTTTTGTCCGTACCAAACGGTGATCCACCCAGGCGAGCTTCCAGCGCTTGCGTCATGGTTAGATAGCATCGATCTGTCAGAGGAGTTTGTACTAGACGATCTTGAACACCTAAATATTCAAAGCCATACAGGAATTTAGCGTTGGCCATATGTATTGTCAGTTGTTGCAGCACCTGTAAATGATAATTTGTTAAATATTTTTTCAAAATTTCCAATTCCCACCCGATGGTAGATTTAGTGAAGTATTGCTCTGGCTAAGGCAAAAATTAGCAAATGTAATGCAAAGTCCTAAACTGTGACTTGCTTACACGTCTGAAGAACTGGTCGAGGTTAATATAACGAAGTTATACCAACATTTTACATTTTTATTATGATGCGAAATATAAATAACAAGAAATACACTTTTTGACTGACTCGAGTGCAAATGGTTCCTTCCTTTCAAATGGCTTGACTGTTGCGCCGAGATTCGTAGGTTCGATTGCCACATTGGGTAAACATTAGGGTGGTGAACAGGATTGTTTGCTATTTGTATGAGTTCTCATTATCTATATAGTATTAATGTGGCGTGATTGTTAGTAAATATTTATTTATTTATATTATATATTTAAATGAAATTTAAATGAAATATATGTATATATTTAAACGTATATAAGTATGTATGTCAATCTCTGGTACTCATAACAAAGAGAATCCTAATTTGGGGCCGGATGACCGTGATTTATTGCCAGTTATTTTTTAATATTTATAATACACTTACATCGTTATTCCTTGGATCGAAATAGAAACGCATCTCGTACAGCCAATCAAACGAGCGCGGGCTGTTCACGCCCGAAGCGATCAGACGACGAGTCACCGTACGCTTGTGAACGAATTCGTTGATCTGTTAACAAAACACGCATTAAGGAATTGATTTACTTCTAATAGTCCTACTTATAAAATAAATTATGCAGTATTTTATTGAAAGTAAATTGAAATCAATCATTAATATGTAGTGTTCTGTTTTAGTGTCTATTTTCTCACCAAATGTTCAAGTTTCCTTCTTCTAAGCGGGGGTTGTTCTTGCAAAACAGAGTCAGCAAGTATGTTCAGCATGTTTTCAACATGGGCTAGTACGCGTTTCAATCCATCTCCGCCCCCATTAACTAGCGCTGCCTCTACATCCTCGGACCAGAGGATCTGAGCCGCTAGCACAACTATTTGAGCCTAAATAGAAAAGTTTTTGGTTAAAGCCCATAAAAATGTAAAATCAAAATAAAAAAAATGTATATTTTTGTGATTGTAATCAATACTTAAACATCATAAATTTTATAGGCACACCTGATACTTATCACACCATTCAATAAACTTCAGAGGGTCGACATTGCCGTCTTTGAATTGTTTGACATCGCCAACCGCGTCCTTCAGTCTGCAAGCTAAAGTGACTCGCATTTCACGCTCAACCATCGACAACCATGAGTTGATTTTTGGATTTTCTATTGTTGAAACAGGGGCTGTGAAGTAAACCTGAAAAAAAAAACTGTATTTTAATTTACCGTAAATTACAAAGCGACGGGACCGGCGCTGATGACGGGACATGTGGGTTTGCGTCTTTGCCGGAAGGAACTGCTCAGTTTTTTGCAGGAGGTCTACGATGTGTTACCGTTGATGTTATGGTAGGTTATTAGTGGGAACCTAGCGATAGCAACATTGGACTGTTTTCGTGACACAAGTTTTTTTATTTATTGCTTAGATGGGTGGACGAACTCACAGCCCACCTGATGTTAAGTGGTTACTGGAGCCCATAAACATCTACAACGTAAATGCGCCACCCCCCTTGAAAGATAAGTTCAAAGATCTCAGTATAGTTAGAACGGCTGCCCCACCCTTCAAATCGAAACGCATTACTGCTTCACGGCAGAAATAGTCGGGGTGGTGCGGTGACCCGTGTGGACTCACGAGAGGTCCGACCATCAGTAATATGTAAGTATGTAATAATCTATATTTCTCACTGGTATAATCAAGTATAATCAATTATAAATACCCGCTTTTATTAGAAATTCATTAGTAGTATTTCGTATTAAAATATTGTTGTCAACCGAAAAATATAAGATTAACATAAAATCTTTGATGTTGAAAACGGTACCTCTTCTCCTTCCCTAGAAGCGATTCCGTTGATGATGGTATTGTCTTCGTTTAGAATGATGGCTGAAACCCCAGCAAACATTTTCTTAAAGTGTTTCTGTAGACGCGCTATGTTCTTGCTGTTACCAATGATCTCCAGAAGATCTTCATCACCCACGAAATAGAATCTAAAATAAGCATTACATTACACAGCGATAGTTTATCCATCAAACTTTATTGAATTTTATATAATTGTATTTTTATTATTATTATTGTAAACTGTATTGTAATTGTATATTTATTGTATTAATATTTTTATTAAATTTGCCAATTTTTGCAGGAGGTAATTACCGAGGAAAGCTGCTTCTCTCCCGCTCCAGATATTCACCGAGCGCCTTTTGTATTTTTCCCAATAAGTCAGCCAAACGTTCTAAAGATCTTTGAACACCAGGAATATTCAACACGTCCATGACCATGGGAGACTTGGAAACTTTTTTCATCAAGCCAAGGAATTCGGAGCTGAAATTATTTTTAATTAAAATTTAAATTATTTTTCACTTTCACCATAAATCAGAAGCATTTTTGTTTTAGACATATTTTTTTTAATTAACGATTCCTATATGTGATTGTGATGCATCTACTGAAAAAAGCTAAATTGGTCCTTTACCTAATGCTCTGGAAACGACTTGTTTCAACGGGTAGCAATGTCTTAATGTCAGCAGATCCACTGAAGATACCTTCCAGATACACCCATCGCCGTTGTACGTCGATCCATACGTCAAATAGAGCGTTAATACGATTTAGTTTCTCCTCCCAAGTAAGAGCTTCTTCTTCAAACACCTGTAGGCAAAAAAGGCATTAAGAACATGTCGTCGTTGTCAAATCAAAATCTGCTATGTACACTTTTTGAGATTTTTACTTTTTGACCTTTTCGTATACTTCACAGCCCTATCTACCGTATAAAAAAAACTGTTGTGTCTATAGCTTTCATTTTATATAGTTCTTAAAAATTCACCTTCATATAAAATTTTATACGAAAATGTTTTTACTCGTTAGTTCGAAATATATTTTTTCACTAGATTTTGGTTTGACAGCGACGATGTGTGTATACTCATGAATGATATAATAAACATTTACCACCCCTATTAATTTGTGAATTTTCTGTTGTACAAAACAGTATTTGATTTGTTTACCTTATAATAGGGAGAAAGTTTCATTGCAGCAACACTGTTGATGTGCTCCTTTACTTTGTTAAAGAGGTCATCCCATCCACGAATAATCTTGCATTTATTCTGATAGTTAATCAGATCTAACTCGTAACTCTGCCACGACTCACGGACCTATTTAACAAATGTAATAATTACAACAATGAAAATTGTTCACAACTTTGGGATATCGAAAATTCAACTTTAGTTTTTGGAAACAATTATACAAGTTTCTTTTATATGTTACCAAAATCTCTGCAATTTACCTGTTTCAAGAATTCTTCAAGTGCCATTTCTCCTTGAGCGACAAGAACGACATCTTTAACTGTATGTTCGTTGTGGAGAAGATCAGCATCCCACACTTGTCCTAGAGTCAGTTCGGATAAAGACCAATCCACTTTGAGAGCTCGGCACAGTTGACGCCAATGACGTTCTTTAAGAGCATCCGATTTTAATTCCACAATTAACATGTTGACCTGCAAATTTGATGATTGATAAGATTTGTTTACGCCTGGGTTGTTGACAAGAATAAATTACCAGGACTTTTTAGTTTTAAAGAGTTGTAAAATTGGTACTAAATTTACCTTGGTATAAGACTGAAGTAATTTGCGAACGAATTCATAGCTGTCGTACATACGCAGACGAGCCGGCAGTTCTTTGAGCTCATTCAGCATAGCCTCCAGCTGTTGCCTGAAACAGTACAATAAATCGTTATATTAAGTCATAGAATACTTAAACTCCCTCGTATCAAAATATGTTAAAAACATGCCTGAGTTTTCTGGGCTGTACGGAAAGCCAAGGTTTCTCTCTGATATCATCAATTTGTGTCCAGATTTTGCTGAGCGACGACCACACTCCTCGTAGATCTTGCAGTTCCTCAAGTACGACCGTCATGCGTTCGTTATTAATCGAGCTTCCTGTAAACAAAAATGGCAATCTGGAGTTGAATTTATTTGGCGACTAGCTGTATCCGTCCGCTTCGCTGGGCATTTAAAATATTATTTCTCACCCACACAAAGATTTTCATCATTAACGCCCCCGCAACTGATGTAGGGAGTCCAACACTCATATAAATATTAGCCTTTCCATTAAGTACATGTATTTTCTACATGGATACCAAGTTTCAAGTCAATCGGATGCACGGCTCAGTAGTTATAACGGAACATCCGTAAAAACCACTGTAGATTTATATATTAGTATAGATGTGACTAATACTAGCGAATGAATTTCCAAAAAAGTTGACTAAAAATTGTTTTCATAATCATAAGTATAGTAATGTGAATACAACTGACCAGTATCGTGCAGCTCCAGAGCTTCTTTAGCTTTAGCGACATTATCTCTTTCGTCCTTCAGCCTGGTGTACCTAGTTTCCATAGCCTGTAGTCTTGACAGCGCATCTTCAGGCCTGGTGGATCCGTCTGTCGGCTTATTGCGTTCCCATTCGGTGAGGAACTCCAGAGTGCGGGTTTCAACAGCTTTGTCTTCAGCTACTATCTTTTGTTGTAGTGATGCAACCTAAGAAAAAATATGAACTTTGTTGTTTCAGTAGGCATGTAAAAATTATTCGTTCAATAAGTTTTTAACATTTAAAGTTTCTTTTACATAGTAAGCACTAGGTAAGACATTTAAAAAAATACCTGGGTCTGTATAGAAGAATCCTTTCTACGCATTATCTCATTGAATGCACTCCATTCTCCATCGATATTGTCGACATGGAGCCATTGAGCTGGGAATTGGAATCTAAAAATTAAATTATTATGACATTTTTATTTACTATATTAAATAGTTTTATTCGATGACTATATTAAAATGGCAAGTAAAATAATACCGTTGTCGTTCTAGAATACGTTGGGCTTCCCTGTAAATATCGACTTGCTTTTCCCAAGCCAAGACTTCTCTCTTCAACTGTTGCACGTAGGTAATGAGAGACACTGCATCACTAGTAGATGCCGCTTCTATAATTTAACAAAGCATTGTGTCGGTTGATTTGAGTTTGCCACAACAATAAGCAAAAAAAGATGTGTAGTGTCGTGGGACACCAGATAGGAACGAAGTTCCTTATTTTTAAAAATATTAATTTTAAGTTCTATTCGAGGTATAAAGAAAACAAAACTGGAAGTTTCGCAACAGCCCACGGTCATTCGGTAACGCGCGAACTTATTGTGGTACACTTCATTCACGGTTGTTTGCATAAGAGTTAGTGTATTGCGCAAACGAACGCTCTGAGACCGTTGTCAATGAATGATAAAAAAATATGTTATTTTTTGTACGTTATTACAAAGTTAAGTCATACACTGTGTTACTAATAAAAATCTTACGTTACGGACGTTTTTTCCCGGTTAGGGTTCCCCTCCGCTTCGTCCCATAAGGAACTTCGTTCCAATAAACTAGGTATATATTTAAGAGGCGTACTTACCGATAGTCTGTTGTTCTAGCTGGCTACGCGACTTGGAGAGCTTGGAGTGGAACTGGACCATTTCTCCGCCGAGCAGAGCCCCGAACTTGCCGAGCACCTCCTTGTGCCAGGCGTCGTACTTGAGAGCCACCTTGCTTTGCACGCGGGCGAAGTCTATAACCACCGGCCCGTATTCACGTCGAGTGTCGGATGTGTCGAACGTGGTACGAGATTTCCTGGCAGAAAAAATCTAGGTCAAGTTCGCTCAACTAATCGTGATAAATTCTTTGAGTGATAACATAATCATACAGTGGAGTAACTAAACAACAGTAACAAGAAATATCTGACCTGAAATCAGAAAATTATTAGTGTTTTCATTTTCTGTTAGATAGAAAGTAATATATTGGTAAATCAAGTCAATCCGCAATAAAACTTTTCCTCCATCTATAAAATCCATACAAGCATCATTGCAAGAAAGGGATACAGCATTTCCTTTGGATTTCGATCAATAAACATTAAATACACCCGACGAATTATTTGTTCAACAGACTACCTATTAGTTCATTCGTTTTACACACAGAATATGTCCAAGACTAGCAGTCGAGTAACTTACTTGATGTCATTCAAACACTTAATCCACAAAGTGATATCTTCCCCGAGACGTCCATACAAGCTTTCCGGTTGTAAGTCCCAAAGGGCTTGGTAACTGTAACAATACACAATTTAGCAATTCCAGTCACCATGGCGGTTGAAATCAGATAACGTAGGTTTTAGATTTTTTTTTGCAACCGGAGATTAAAGACACTAACCGCAGCCATTCGTCGACGTATTCGCGAACTTCAAATATCTTCTTTTCAATCGCGTCGTAAGCTTTTTCGAGGGGTGCGGATCCTCCAGGAAGCTTGGTCAGTAGGTTCCTGTAGGTGGCTGTTTGAGCTCGAGCAACTCCGACTTGGTACCTTTGAATAGGAAAAACGAAAAAAAGCATTAGCTATAAAGAAATATAATTAGTGTTTAAATTCCAGGTATTATTTTTAAAGTTACTTTACACCAATTACATTTCTTATATATTAATACGTGAAACAAAAACTTTGTACCCCTTTTTACGAAAATTGCGCGGACGGAGGAGTATGAAATTTCCCACATTTATAGAGAATATAAAAAAGGAGTGCATAATGTTAATATTTTTGTAAATTATGGATAAAAAACACACTAAATCGATAAAACAAACATTACACACATTACCACCTATTTGAAACGCACGCATATATACATGTATGCTTTGTTTATTGTAAACTTTTATTATTTAAAGTCTGTGGTCAAATTGAGAATAGATTATTATTTGTCTATAGTGTAATCTTGGCGAAATCTGTGACTAAAGAAGTATAAGTCTTTGACAATAGAACGATAATAATGTACAAACTTATAATTTAACTTAATTATAGTCGAATTTCAACTACTGCGAGACCACTAGTAATGTTAATTAATAGTTCATATCCTATCAAATGGAGACCCATAACAGAAAAAAAAGGTTTGAAAAAAAAAAAAAAAACGAATTTACTATAAAATTGTTTTCTTTAGATCCAAATATTTATATTAGTGGATGCATTTTCAATTTAATGTATGAAGTTTGTTCTAAATATTAGTGCTGTACATATTATTATCTTTATTACCGTACCTGGTGCTCTGCAGTCTGTGCAGGCTGGTGACGATGGCCTGCCACGCAAACATCTGCCGCATCAGTTGGAAGCGAGCTTCTTCCAAAGACGGGAATAAATACATTTGTTGATTCGTAATGCGCACCTCGTGGACCACGCGGGCGATCTGCCGTAATTAATATATTATTATTGGATAGGTTTATACGTCTCAGTTTAATGTAAAATACATTATAACTATTTAAAATGTAATAGTCAATATACATGTTATATGTTAAAGTATTAAAATGATTTTTACTAAGTTATTTTGGTTTTCATATTTTCAGTAGTTTGAGTTTGTTGAATGTAGATAAAAAAAAATACTGCTTAGATTGGTGGACGAGCTCACGGCTCATCTGGTGTTAAGTGGTTATCGGAGCCCATAGATATCTACTATGTAAATGCCGCCACCCACCTTGAGATATGAGCCTGAGATACCTTGAGTCCTATGGTTGCAGTATAGTTACAACGGCTGCCCAAACCCTTCAAACCAAAACGCATTACTGCTTCACGGCAGAAATAGGCAGGGTGGCGGTACCTACCCGTGCGAGCTCACGAGAAGTCCTACCACCAGTAATTACGCAAATTATAATTTTGCGGATTGATTTTTATTACACGATGTTATTCCTTCACCGTGGAAGCCAATCGTGAACATTTGTTAAGTACATGTTTCATTAGAAAAAAAGGTACCCACCTGCGAGATTCGAACATCGTTGTATTTCTCGATACAAATGCACCAGAAGTCTTATCCTTTAGGCCACGACGACTTTTGTTAAATATTACTTCTTTATTAAAAATGGTACCTGGGGTTCGCCTCCGGGTTTGTGGGTAGGTTCAGCAGGAGAATAAGTATCCATGGATAGGTCAAGCTCGTGGCTCTTCCCTAGCAAGGCGCCAGTCCAGGCTTCGACACCGGCCTGCAGACGGGCGGCGAGGCTCTTTTCAACCTAAACAATAATCACGATCATGAATATAGATATTTTAAAAACTCAAATATTAGTAAGATGAACATTGTAACACCAAATTAAATCGTGTTTTTAATTTTATATACTAATAATATAAAGTTGAAGAGTTTGTTTGTTTGAACGCACTAATCTCTGGAACTACTGGTCCGAATTGAATAATTCTTTCAGTGTTATACAGCCCATTTATCGAGGAAGGCTGTAGGCTATATAACATCACGCTAAGACCAATACAAACGGAGCACCAATAAAGAATGTTGCAAAATCGTTTTTTTTTTCCTTTTTGAGGGCTTCCGTTGCGTGCGCTGCGGAAACGGTTAAAGTTTCGCTAAAATAACGTATGAGAGAATTGTTCCCCTTTAAAAGATCTAAAAAAAAGTCCGCGACAGCATATGTCTATATGTTAAGGTTGCCTCACTATAACGTTTTTTATGCTGACCAAATTTGTTCTAAAATAAAGCGTTATTTGTGAACTATTTCACGCGGACGAAGTCGCCGGCAAAAGCTAGTTTTATCAATAAATCCTTTTTCATAAATACCTCTTCGTCTAAGCGTTGCACCCACAGATGCAAGTTGCTGTACTGCCTCAAGGACAGATCGTCGATGGCGCGCTGCAGGCGACTCAAAATGTCGGCCAGGCTTTGAGCCGAGTACGGGCAGGTCTCAAGCGATCGGACATCCACCGAGATTTGTTCTTCGACCGCAAGTAAGTCTTCAACCTGTCAGTCAATTGAGGTGAGGTTTTAGTAGTTAATTTTAATCTAAGTTTGTTTTAAGCAAAACAGCGGATTTTTAAAACCTTTTTGACTGGTGGTAGGACCTCTTGTGAGTCAGCACGGGTAGGTACCACTACCCTGCCTATCTCTGCCGTGAAGCAGTAATGCGTTTCGGTTTGAAGGGTGGGGGCAGCCGTTGTAACTATACTGAGACTTTAGAACTTATATATCAGGGTGGGTGGCGCATTTACGTCGTAGATGTCTATGGGCTCCATTAACCACTTTAACACCAGGTGGGTTGTGAGCTCGTCCACACATCTAAGCAATAATAAAAAAAACCTTCTTTTGACTTACTTTCTCTTGGAATAGTAGCACGACTTCACTCAATTTCTGTACATATGGATCAAGTTTGTAGGATTCCCATACGAGAGCCATGCCTTCGGACACCTGGTTGAGAACGTCGCGCCTCAGACCAGCCACCAGCGGGATGATGGATGCCTTATCACGAATCTAAAAAAGTACATCGACCGTCAAATTTAAATCATAAAATCAATGCAGAATCGACAAGGACACATGCACTGTACGGGTTAATATTTTAATCCTAGATGAATATGAGATACGATGCATATTACGACAAATTAACGGTACATATCTAATTTCTAGAGTAACTCATAAAATGGCACTAAAACATTTTGTAAAGGCGTAAATGCTCCCTATATGAGGATGCGCCAAAAACTGAAATAAAAGCGAACACAAGTCCACAATGTTTCACTAAACATGCATTCTACTATACCCAACTACCTTAGTATGATTCCTATTATTTAGCTGCGTAAACAAAACGTGTACGTGTTAGTGATTTCACATATTTCTCTTCTAAAAAAAAATCAAGTCACCTCATATTTGAACTACTGAAAAAAACATTGAGAATTCGTTGCGGTTATATAATCCTTTTTTTTTTGGTGTACGTACCTTTTCGAGAGTGCGCTCGTAAGTGCGTACACTTTCGATCAATGAAATGGCGAACGGGTACAGTTGATTAGCTTGATGAGCCTTGTTCACAATGGCTAACGGCACTCTAAAACAAAGAAATGAGAATGAGGGCTGATTCGGACAATTTCTCAACACGATCAGGTCCGAACACCTGGAAAGAAGTCTCGGCGAGTATAAACCAACATTACAAGTGTCGTAACTCCACACGATCATCTCTTGAAATTGCTATCTTCATTATGGACCTGATACGTGCATCATACGAGTGTTCATCAACGTTAGCCCAATGAGTTTCTCGCCGGATCTTCTCAGTGGGTTGCAATTCCGATCCGGTGATAGATTCTGCGAAGCATTACTCTTGCTAGGGCTAGCGTTAGTAAATTCTCTTAGGTAGAGCCCGTGAGCTCACCTACCCGTCTGGGCCTAGTTGGAATAGCCTCTTAGGCTACCAGTAAAATCAATACTGAAAACTATAATATTATTATTTGCACTTATTTTTCTCGCCTGTTCGTGTTTGAGAAAAATAACAATACAATTCAACCCTAAAATAGAACGCAGGCTTTTTCTATTTAAACTGCAATAGAAGTGTTATTTTAAAAGTTTCACCTTTTTGGTTTTGACTTACCTGAACCCTAGGTTCTTTAAATTACGCACTTCCTTGTATAGAGTGATGATTTCCGGCAGAAAGTTAACTTTCAGTTTGAGGATTGTACCAGTCTTGCTGGACCGGGCACGCACTGAGTCGATCGCGAAGATTCGTCCCGATACACCCAAGTTACGTTGTTGAACCTAGAATAAACATTATTAAAAAAAAAAGGATTATTATTCATGGGAACTAATTTCATTACAATTTTGTAGTATTTTAAAATTAAACTCATTTTACGCTACCTTACGAGCCCAATCGTCGAAGACTTCTTGAGTATCTAATTTCAGTCGGAAACTGTCGCCGTCTGCCTTCAACTTCTGCCCTTCAATATGATTTTCCCAGCCTTTACCTACAAAATGCAATACAATATATAAAAAAAATTACAGGAAACAATAAAAAATAATCTAATATAGTCATCTAGTATACCAAGCACATCTTCAACTCTTTTTAAATAAGCAGTGAGCTGGTGATCGATCTGCTTCGCCCAAATGATGGAGCCGGCAACGGGAGGGAGATCTCGTACCGTCGAAATACTACTGCACTTCGATTGTGGATATTGTACCTATGAAAATGATTAGGTAAATAAATAATTTGGAGAAGGCATTTATGCGACACTATTTTTCAAATACCAAATCAACAGATAGAATAAAAATGTTACAGGGCTCTATGATCAGAATTTATGATTACTTCATTATCATAAAATTACTACAACATATAAGTAACATATTGATAATCTAAAATTTGAATTATATGGATATTCGGTGGTAAGTAAGTGCTTAACAATTGACCTTTTGTGGGACAACTTTTGTTTACGAAAAAACACTATCTTTAGTGGAATATACAAGATAAACTTTCTATATGTGTTTCGAACATCGTTCGAACCATAGTCTACCGAGCATCGAAACTAAGTGAATCCACAATCTTGATTTTTATATATAAGCTTTTGATGCATTCGCAATGTTTTATTAATTCTTCTTCTTCCTATTCGTACACTCTTGATAGAATGGTCGTGGTCATGTATCAGTCGGATCCTGCGATACCGATGCTCACGCGATGCGACGCCATGTGGCACGATGTTTCGCAGAGAGATCAATCATTTATGTTGGAGTGAGTCACAGATTTTATGAGGTCGGTCCATCGTGTTGAAGATCGTCCGCAAGATCTTTTGCCCTCGACTTTCCCTTGAACCACCAACCGCTCAATGGAGTCCTCATTACGAGTTTTATTAATATACTTCGCCAAATATTACGTACTTTAAACTTCTCATGTAAGGCCTCAATATCATCTTTGACGCGCTGTATGAGCTGCGTCTGGTACTCGCGGATGGCGCCGCGGATGTGCGGGCGCACGAACAGCGCGTTGAAGCGAGAGAATATACGAAACATTTCGTTCGCGTTCTTAGCTGTTCCCAGCTGGTCGCGGAGGTGGGCCGTGATGCGAGTCTCGACGCGGTCTGTGAACACAAAAAAAAAACCTGGTTTGCTATTCATATTCTTACTGGTGGTAGGACCTCTTGTGAGTCCGCGCGGGTAGGTACCACCACCCTGCCTATTTCTGCCGTGAAGCAGTAATGCGTTCCGGTTTGAAGGGTGGTGCAGCCGTTCTGACTATACTTGAGACCTTACTATCTCAAGGTGGGTGGCGCATTTACGTTGTAGATGTCTATGGGTTCCAGTAACCACTTAACACCGGGTGGGCTGTGAGCTGGTCCACCCATCTAAGCAATAAAAAGAAACTTAACATTCGCTAAAAAATTTGATACATATTGTTTGACATACCGATTCTGTCTTCATAGCGTCCCACGGCAGCTTCCCAAGCGTCGCAACCTTCGCGGGTGATATCCAAGCAATCGACTTCTTTTACATTCTCATATGCGAGGTTCACCTATAATATTACATTTTCGTAGTAAATATACGAAATTACAAATCAAATACCTTATTTACTTAACCCAGATAAGTCAGTATTTATGGGTGTAAATTTATGCCAAATCTTTATTTAATATTCAGAAATTTACCTCGGCAATGGCGTTAGCATCAGCAGCATCCATGGGCAGAGAGTGAGGCTGCGCGGGTTCGCCTGAAGCACCCGTCTCTGCAGTCACTACAGCGCGTGGACGCAGAACCTAAGCAAATAACAGTTAATTATTTAATAGTTTTATTTTGAGTACCAAACCTGAATATCGTTTGTTCGAAATGTTATTATATATGTATATATCTTATGACGTGTTAACAGTTTCTGCAAGCAATAAAACCGTTAACTCAAAGGTCTCAGTTCAGACCAATAATGATTCTAACATTTATAGTAACATCTGTAACATTTAATTTATTTACTAGTGAGACGTTACCACTAAGCTGTCTATTTTTTTTTCGTGAAGCAATCCTTCGTTCCAGTTATATAACAAAACTGTTGATTGTGACTGATGATGAGATGTTTGAAGGTTGGGTGATGACATTCATGTTTTGACATTTAACACCAATGTGGTTATGAGCTCGTTCAACCATCTTGAGCAACATCAAAACGTAAGAAACATCGAACTGAATATTCTATTTATTTATTTATATACTAGACAGTATCAAGGCGAACTTAATGCCATAGGTATTCTCTGACAGTCTACTTTAGGGGGGTGCAGAGATGAACCTTGGTAGGTGTAGTGTGATAGTGATGTAACTTAAACATATGTGTATATATAACATACATAATATTTATAGATACAAATACTCGTACTTAAATAAATACATATACATAAATATATACATATAAAAATATATATCGACGCTAGAAAGGCAAAAGTGACTAAGCGACAATAACTGCTTTGTACATAAATTACAGGCAATAACCATATTCGATGCGCAAATAAAATATATTTCTAGGTCTATTAAAATCATTTCAATCCTACAGCTAGATTCGTTAAAATAGATTTTTTTTCAGGTATTTCTCATGTATATTTTAAATTAATTTCAACTTAAAATTAGTCTACTGTAAAGTTCACGCATTGTCGCTTAGTCACTTTTGCCTTAATATAAATAAATATTATCAATTAGATGTCTCTGCTAACTCTCTGATAAACAAGAATTCTACTCAAATATCAACAGATAGAAGACTTAAATTATCATTAATAAGTACTATATTCAGTGACTTACTCTTAGCATGACAGTGCGCAGTTGCTCGTGATGTCTCCGGAAGCGCCGCATGTGTTCCATACGCGCCTGCAGTCGCTTATGTGACGGAGAAACGCGCCATACCATCTTCAAATGTTCATCGCGTTTCTTCTTCACGATGTCACTGTTTCACAAAGATGATTTAATAAATAAATGACTTTTTGGCGGGAACGCGAGGAGTGAAGTTGTGTGATTTGTTTTATTTTGTCTATTCAGTGTTTCTTCAGGTTTAAATGTGTAGTAATGGTAATTAACTGTTTAATATCTGTGAAAGTGCACAAATGTGGTAAAATGAAACAAAGCCGCTGGACGTAACTTCTCGGGATCCTCCAAAAAGTCCACTGAAAAAATCTTAGTAAATGACCACCATTTTACTGAGATTATATTTCATCCCATATCATCTCATTTCATTTCATTTAATTTCATCCCAGTTGATTAATGTCTCAAATTAATCATCTTCATTTCATTTCACTTCATAATATAATTTTTCATAAAAATAGTAATATAAATTAAAATAATACATGACTTAAAGGTCTCAGTTACCAGGTCATAAAATCCCTTAGAAAAAATTAATAAATAAATAACCTTTTTTTTATTTTTTTTATTGCTTAGGTGGGTGGACGAGCTTACAGCTCACTTGGTGTTAAGTGGTTACTGGAGCCCATAGACATCCATAACGTAAATACGCCACGCACCTTGAGTTATAAGTTCTAAGGTCTCAAGTATAGTTACATTTTAATCGGTATTCTGAGAAATTCATGTTCTCATTCATCTCTCTCTCTCTCTCATTGTTTTTTGGATGACTATGAAAGAAAGTTCTATTGGACTGTTTTTAGCTTTGGACGTATTTGTACTATACTTGTTCCGAATTTATGTGGTACCAATCTTAAATTATACATCGCTAATAGACAATGACAAAAAAGTTGCATTATCTATTGTTGATACAACATATTCGCTATAACTCGCCAAAGACATCGTGGAAATTCTTTTCGCAAAACCTGCTTCAAGGTCGATGAGCTAGCCGTTTTCGTGTTATTAATACATCTAACAGTTTCACATAACCCGAGGCTACTGGTGAACTTGATGGAGCTGGGCTGCTAGCATTGTAAGATCCCTCACACTTACACGAAAAAGTAAGTACAGCAATGGGATGTCGAAATGTGGTAAAGGAAATATCAAATAGTTAAATGTAATGTAAATAAAATACATAGCTCGAAAATATTTACATATAATATAATGTAGTTTTTTTTAGCTTCTAGATGTCACTCTCAGAGCCATGTATTTTTAGTTTCTATTAAAATAAATTAATTTTGAGGTATACTATAAGCCTGGCATGATTTAATTACTGTTATTAAAATTATATTATTTAATAGTTAATATATTCTGTGCCCTTACCGAAGAAGACCTTGAAGCTTCTCGTACTCATCATCCCAACACGAAAATACTTCAAAACATTGAGTCATGACGCGTTCGAAGTCTTCAAATGGAATGTGCATCAGACGACGAGTACCAAGCACCTGTGTGATTTAAATTGTCAAGTTATGTTAAAGTTATAGTGTCTAAGTATAGGGGATACTTTAGATTTCTGGTCAACCTGCCCTGGTAGAGCTTGAAAGGCCTCCGGGACAACAAAATTCTCTCAAACATAAAAAAAAACTGGTCAAGTCACTTCAGATGTGGTTAACATAACCATATTGTAAACAAACAAATTAGGGTCTGATCGAATTAGGTGCAGCTTCACTATATTGTAAATGCAGTATTTTACAAAGGTTTTATAACAAATAAGAACTATCTGTAATAACAATAACATAATATGAACGAATAACTTGCCTTTAATAGCTGTTGTCCGAGATCACGAGAAATTGCTTCAACAAGTCTTAGACCACGCTGGATTGGATACTTAGTAGAACGTATTTTACGTAGATGAGAGAATATTTGTTGGACTGCCAACCTGTATTTTAGGTTAATATTTGTTTTAAAAATATCCTATATAATTTTTTTTCTTAAATAATCTATTCAAAAAATTTAACAAAAGGAAAATTTTAACTATTTAAACTTTTTTCTTATATACTTTGAAGTTAAATGCTAACCTTATTCTGTCAAGTTCAGTAGCACTCAAAAGGTCATTGATGGGGAAATCTTTCATCAATGGATTGTAATCAGATACAGTTGCAAGAGCTTGCTTCAGGCCTGTGTCTGTATCGAATGAGACAGTTGCATGGAAACGTTTACCATATTTCAGGATTTCGAGAGTTAGTGCCACCTGAAAGAACATTCAATTGCACCACATTAAAGTATATATATAATTTGTATCATACTCCTGTTTCATTTATGCAGAAAATAACAATTTATTAAATGCATATTATACATTGATGAAGTGTGTGAAACTAAGTAAATGTATTAAGATTTCAAGATAAGAATAGTTGCTATTCGAAAAAGAAATTGAAACACCAACCTCAAGTTTCAATAAAAGCAGTAAAATTCATATAGTTTTGTTCATGGGCTTTAGTAATCACTTTATATTATCTGCCATTAACTGGTCTGCTAAGATTGGTAGATACTCAAAAACAATTCGACTTATTGTCATTTGAATGCTAATAAAATGTTTGGGTTGAATTTGAAGTGGGCAGATGTTGACTAACCATAATATAAGTTTGCCTATTTAATACATAATGACTGTGGGTAAATTTATATGGGATTTTGCATATCTGTATTTTAATGTTGATAACAATGTACTAGTTTTTATTAACAATGTACTTACTTCAAGACTTTCTCGTTTTTCTTGAATGCGATGAAGAGCTCTTTCAAGATTCAGCCAGAAAGAGATTTCTTGAAGTGCAGTACCATTTGACGGATCTCGATCCAATTTGGTCACCTAAATTGACAGAAAATAAAGATAATATATAGAATAAATAGGTTTACATTTTTTTTGTTCTTAAACAGTAATGAGGTGCCATATTCTCGAAGTTTCTTACCTTTTGAATTTCTTTAATCCAACGATTAACACCAAACTGAAGTTGATTTAAAAAAGTAGAATCTTCAACTTTGTCACCGAAGTCAGCAACACGGGCTTTCCTTCCTTCATCAGCAGCCCTGAGGTTATAGTATACAGTCAATTGTAAATATCAAACTTAATCATTACACCTAAATTGTTTGTTTACATTCATAAGTTAATGTACTAGAATAATATGAAATAAGGCTACTAATCATAGGGTATATTGTAAGCAAACATTTTTTAATGCAAGCTCACATACCACCTGGTATTGAGTAATTACTGGAACTCGGACATCACTATTTGAATACTACAACCCAAATTTAAAAACGATAAAGTCTCAATTATATTATTTAATGGCTTTCTAATCGTTCACAACGGTATAGAAGGCAGTTTTGCGGTAGATACATGACGGTGGTAGCAAACCGTGCAGACTTTAATAAAGATAAATTTGAAAGATACAGTTAATTTATATTTAAAATATTACATCTCAGAAAAAGTTTATTTACCTTTTTATGACTGCTGCTACAACTGGATGGATGGGTAGAGTAATTTCAGGAATATCAATGTTCTGTTGGAGATGAAGAAGACCCATTTCCAGTTCAGCAATTTTCTTCTCAACTGATGGAGCCATTTTATCACCATCTCTATTTCCCAAACAAACGTTACATAATTTAAAGATGAGTTTATTTAGAGTGTATTTCATAATTGCATAGTATCTTTTTTAGAATCACAATCTATGTGAATTTTAGAATGTACTTATAGATTTCACAATGAATAATGTTTTCAATACAAAAGGTTCAAAACATTAATTTATTATTATTATATATTTTATTTTATTTATTTTTATTATAATTCTATTTATTTTTATTAATATTCTTGCTGATAGTTAGGCACTAAATATAACCAATTATAACAGTATTTCAATTTTACTTCTTTTAATTTCAGACGTGTTCAAAGATGAGGAAACTGCTTAACAAGATTCAATAACTTGTACATATGGAGTCATTAAATAATTATAATTGTGTCAATATTTTATGAAATTTTTAATAATTGTCTTTACTTCAATTTAGCACATAAATTTTATACAATCCACAAGAACATAATTAAACCAGACTGAAAAATAATTAGCATTTTTCAACACATTAAATATTAATTTGTTTTGAGCCTACATACACATAAACTTTTTAAGTAACTAACCGGTCAGCTCTTCCACTTTCTTTAACATAGCTCTTGAAAAATGGAGCCATCGTTTTGCTGATAAAAGCATGCAGGGTTTCATAAGGAGATCCATCAGAGAAGTTGATTAATCGAAGTTGACTATGGATGGACTTATCAGCTTCAATAACTGCTCCTCGTTTTGTACAGACAAGGGCAGCCACTCGTGGGGATGTAAAATGAACCTATAACATAGAATAGTATTATTGAAGAAAACAATACAATGTGTGTATTGTTGTGCTTGAACAGCTTCATTAAATTTTCTTTTCTTGAGGAGGTTACAAAATGCATCAACCATGTGTGAAAACGTGGTATGATTTTCTTAATGCACTTGGTAGTGTTTAAATTCTATTGAGTATATAGGATACACCATATATCATGAGTTTATTTAAGTTGAGTTATATTTTTACAAGTAGAAAAAAAAGCAATATAGGCCTGTTATGGCGATCATTTATTAACCTGCTAAGTTCCACAACTATATATTACCATATGTACCATATTTGACCTGAGGAACATTATTGAGCAAGTGTAATAAATATTGTAATTAGAAAATCCTAATTTTAGTTTAAGCCTACTTACTATTCACTAATTAATTTTAATTTAAGATTACTATTTATTTTTAACACACCTCATTACTGATTTGGTATGTAACAGCTTCTTTCTCTTCTTCACCCTCAGTTGGTTGTTCACTGTCATCTTCTGCAAAATTAAAATTAAATTACTTACGAGTCAAATGGTTAAGTATAAATCTCAGAATTATGCAGCTAAAGCTTTAACATAATGATATGACGTCACGGTCTGTGATTCAAGCAATGCAGTAAAGTAGTTTTTAAGTAGAAAGTTGTTATAACTGAAAGACGTGGGTACCTTTTGATGAAAATCGTTGGACGTAGAGCGAAGAAACTTGAGGATCAGCAATAAACTTTCTAATGCAGTCTTGGTTCACTTTATCCTCGAGGGCTGTGTTAAGAGCCGGAGGAACGATGTCATCCTCAGGCAAAAGTACCGTTGCGGCTCTTCGCAAGTAATTAGCAAAGTCTTGAAAATCAACAACAACCACATTTTGGGTTTCTGCAGTATTTTCAGTCCCGTCAAGGGAGTCTCCCATGGTGTTCTAGGAGCTTTGATGATATGGTTCAATAATCAATAAATGAAAAGAACAGTCGAAATCTTTGTAAACTCCTCTTCTCGCAACCTATTTGACAAGAATGACAGGTGCAGTGCATAGCAGTGTGACTAGATTTTATTTGACGAATCTACTGCTTGTGGAGGTTCAAATCTACTAAAATCTACCAAAAGAGAACGAGAAATACTCAAAATCTATTATACTTTTTTTGCTGTCGTGTTACAATGTAAAAACATGAATCTTCTTGATTAAACAATAAAATAATAAAAAGAAACGACAATTAATTAAAGAGACCAATGTTATTTTTTTTAAATTAAATTCTAAATAAAAATCTCTAAAAAATATCTAACTAAAATCTATCTAAATAAAAAATAAAAATAATAAAATGAAACTTAAACTTCTTCTCTTTATGTTGGGTAACATTTTCATAAAGTTGTTTTGAGTCCATTAACTTGATAATAGTTCTGTCAGGATCAAATGTGCGACATCAACTGACGTAGCCCCTCTTTTCCATGCATGATTGCAGCAACATTCTTATTATTAAATCGATTTCGATCTTAATTTTTAATCCTATTAATATCAGAAATTATTCTTTCTACTTTGGCGTTTGACAAAGGTAGTGTCATCATTTGCTTCATAAATCGGGACAAATTGCCATACCTTGGTTTGCTATTCGCATCACAGATTTGGCTGCCTGCACTCCAAAATTTATCCACCATAAAAGTTTCAGACATCGAACTAGAAGTTGACAATAAATTAGACACGGAAACATCTAATTTTGATTCCCTATATTCTTTGTCAACAATTTGCATGTTTTCTGTTGCAACTACAAGGATATCGTGATGAATAGGACATCACGATATCCTTGTGTACATTTATGTTTCATTTTAAGCTCGATTATAAAAATTCTCAATGAAGGAATTCCCACTGGTCTATCACACTATGCTCAAGGCACGAATGGGAAAGAAAAGAATGAAAATTAAATAGTTACAATTCATTCGATGAAAGGGGGAATATCCCAAATTTGTCCGTTATGCCAAAAAAGTACTAGAATAACTGAAAAGCGTGAATTCTATTAAAATATACCAAATAATTTTTACATACTAAATTCTGTTGTCAGTACCTCTAAATCTACCAAAAAAGTAGAAATCTACTAAATCTGGTCACGCTGGTGCATAGATTAGTTATTAGTACTTGTTTTTTTAAAGGGATTTTACGACCTAGTAACTAAGACCTTTAGGTCTTATTTTAATTTATATTCTTATTTTTATGAAAAATTATATTATGGAGTGAAATGAAATAAAGATGATTAATTTGATACATTAATCAACTGGTGGTAGGACCTCTTGTGAGTCCGCATGGGTAGGTACGACCGCCTCGCCTATTTCTGCCGTGAAGCAGTAATGCGTTTCGGTTTGAAGGGTGGGGCAGCCGTTGTAACTATACTTGAGACCTTAGAACTTATATCTCAAGGTGTGTGGCACATTTACGTTGTAGATGTCTATGGGCTCCAGTAACCACTTAATACCAGGTGGGCTGTGAGCTAGTCCACACGTCTAAGCATAAAAAAAAAAAGGGGATGAAATTAAATGAAATGAGATGAGATGATGTGGGATGAAATATAACCTCAGTAAAATGGTGGTCATTTACTGAGATTTTTTCAGTGGACTTTTTGGGGATCCCGAGAAGTTACGTCCAGCGGCTTTGTTTAATTTTCCCACATTTGTGCACTTTCACAGATATTAAACAGTTAATAAACCACCGTTATTACACATTTAAACCTGAAGAGACATTAAATAGACAAAATAAAACAAATCATACAACTTCACTCCTTGCGTTCCCGCCAAAAAGTCAGATAATAATTCTTAACAGTTACTTGCTCACATCAGTAAAATATATAAAGCTAGTTATTAGTATTTAGTGATGCTTAGACTGTATTGACTGTTGTACGTGTCTATACTAATATCTATACTAATATTATAAAGAGGAAAGATTTGTTTGTTTGTTTGTTTCGAATAAGCTCCGAAACTACTGGACCGATTTGAAAAATTCTTTTTCCATTAGAAGCCGACATTGTCCCTGATGAACATAGGCTACTTTTTTTTAATTTTTTTTTTTTTTTTGGTTTCATGTGTGTTTTAATGTTTCCGAAGCGAAGCGAGGCGAGGGCGGGTCGCTAGTATACTATAAAATTAATAACTTTTTAACTAGCTTAGAGATTAATGAAACTCAATTAACTAAATGTAACTCATATACATACATCGAACATGCTGTATTATTACTTTATTATTTGAATGCTTGAATCGTCTTCATACCATTTAAGTTCTTGGAGATGGTGATATCACATGATTTTTAAATCGCATTTTTACGTTTTATTTATTATCCTTAGCTGTTGATTCGCGAGCAAAGGGAGGGGCAGCGGCGTATTCTCGTCACACAATTCGTTTACGACTTGTTTCTGCAGACCGCCGTTGAAGGCAATGCTCGACTTTGCGAATCCAAAATCAGGTGTAGTTACTGGTAGTAAGACATCTTGTGAGTCCGCACGAGTAGGGACCAGCACCCTGCTTATTTCTGGAGCAGTAATGGGTTTCGGTTTGAATGGTGGTGCAGTCGTTGTATTGGAAAAACCGAGACTTCAAAACGTATATCTCAAGGTGGGTGGCGGCTTTTATGTCTATGGGCTCCGGTATCCACTTTACACCAGGTGGGCGGTGAGCTCTACATCCATCAAAGCAATAAATAAATAAATAGTGAGATGTGAGCAACAGAGCTCTTCTCTGTTCGCACTGAGCAGTCGTTATCGAGCCAAAGTCCCGGGATAAGGATCTTGCCCGAATTTTGGCTCCCTAAGTATTTTGTGCCTCCTCCGTATGCTTTGAAGACCGGCGAAAAGGAAATGTAAATTGCTGCTACTCAACATACGTATGTGGGAGACAGATGACTCCGGGTAGTTTTGAGTCAATTAAGAGCAACGATTTCTTAATTTCAAGATATAATTAATATTCTTATACCTTATCTCATCTTATTAACTACCTTACCTTATTAATGTATTGTTACGTTCCACATTTTAGAATGATCCCTAAAACCACCTCTTTCTAGTAAAGTCATTTTCAATCAAGTCGCCCTCATCTCCTTGGCTCTATCCATCTCGGTCGACAAAAAATCTGCCTATATCAGCTTATAGCTCTTTGGATTATACTACGATAAATTTTGAACGTTGTGTTCTTGAAGATAGAGCATCATTTTGATTAAAAAAATATGTTACTACAGTATAAGAAGGTGAATATCGGTAGCGCAGACTATAAAAGCAGTGATTCGAGAAGCGTTTCGTCATTTTACAAACTCGCTGTAATAAGATATCGGACGCTCTATCACCCTGGAAAATGTGTTTATTATGCTCCCGGAGATATTTAAGTTACATCAGAAAATATTTGCATAGATGTGGACTTGGAAGTTAAATTTCAAATTTTACTTATTTATTATGTAAACTATTACATATTAAATGTTAATTAATTAAAAAATTCAAACTGATCAGTCAAGAAAAAATCTCTTAGGAAATAGATGAGAGGGGAAAACATCATGGATAAGTATACCAATCTATATATATAAAAATGAAACCCGTTTTCCGTTGTCACGACATAACATGAAAACGGCTTGACCGATTTGGCTAATTTTGGTCTTGAATTATTTGTGGAAGTCCAGAGAAGGTTTAAAAGGTATAAAAATATGAAAATTCTCGGAATTAAATAAAAATAACAATTTTGTTTTCCCTTTGACGTGTCCCCCGTCGGACNGATCGAGATAAACGACTCCGCAAGAAGATAGAATGATAACCAGGTTAGCTAAGAAAGATCCGTTTCTAGGCTCTATTTTAATTAAACACGAAGTGTTTGGGGCAAACGAAAGAGCCGGTGTATCTGCGAGGACCGTTCGACGACGTTTGGTAAAAGCAGGGTTGTTCGGAAGAGTAGCTCGCAAAGTACCGTTGTGGAAGAAAGAACATAGAAATGCTCGATTGGCATTTGCACGTAAATATGGACATTGGACCTACGCCCAATGGCAACATGTACTTTTCTCTGACGAGACCAAGGTTAATTTGATTTCTTCAGATGGAAGGCAATATGTACGGCGTCCTGTAAAAGCGGAAATGAATCCAAGATTCACAAAAAAAACAGGTGAAACATGGCGGTGGAAACATTAAAATATGGGGTTCATTTTCTGGACGTGGAGTGGGACCTGTGAGGAAAGTTCAGGGTAACTTAGACCAACATCAATACAAGGCAATATTGGAAGAAACTATGCTTCCCTATGCTGAGGAGCATCTCCCTATTATATGGACGTTTCAGCAGGATAACGACCCGAAACATACCGCCCATTCAGTCTATTCGTTTCTTACCAGTCAGTCTGTATCGGTGCTAGATTGGCCAGCAAATAGCCCGGACCTCAACCCAATTGAGCACCTTTGGCACGAAATCAAGAAAAAAGTTGCCACTTATCGTAATACAAATTTGGATGAACTTCATGAACCTTTTTGTGAGGCATGGGCAAACATTCCTGTCAAAACATGTCAGAAACTGATAATGTCTATGCCACATCGGTGTCAAGCGGTAATTACTAACAGAGGTTTTGCTACTGAGTACTGATTTTACACGTAATAAAATGGAGCTGTTAAAGATATTATAACACTGAAGATTATAAGTTTTGTGTAACTGTATTTTTCATTATACTTTACTGTCCTTAATTAAATGTCCACTACAAAATTGTACCTTAATATTTAATACATGTTTAATCTTTGATATTAAATACTTTTTCTATTTATTAAATCTTTTATTTACAGCCANGACATAACATGAAAACGGCTTGACCGATTTGGCTAATTTTGGTCTTGAATTATTTGTGGAAGTCCAGAGAAGGTTTAAAAGGTATAAAAATATGAAAATTCTCGGAATTAAATAAAAATAACAATTTTGTTTTCCCTTTGACGTGTCCCCCGTCGGACGGATTCCTTTTGTTTGTTTTAAGTTTATTCTATATAAAAGTTTAGTTCTTTTATTTATTGAT